GGGGACAAGGGGTACCTTGAAAGGGGGGAATGGGGGGCAGAGGGGGCAGGGGGGGAGGAATTTTTGGGGTGTTTTGTCACGCTGTCGTTTTGGGTGTCGTCTTTTGTCGTTCCTAATTATTGTGAGACGCGGTTTATTTTTATTTTTTTCAGGTAAACAGACGGCGCGGGAGATGCTGCAGATGACTCCAGATTCTTCCTCAGGTGAGAAATTTCGACGCGGAAAAAAAAAAGAGGCGTGCTGAGATTTCCCTTTTCTCGCTCTCGTTTTCCCACGAGGCCCCACCGGAAATCGTGGGAAGATCATCCCTGATGAGATGCGCGAAACCGCAACCGCCCCCCCCCCCCCCTCCCTTTCGAATGAAAAAAAAAAAGTTGGGACGGGTCCCACGTTCGTGGGTGCAGGACGAGAGAGAGAGGAAATTCCCGTGATGGAACGCTCCTTCGTTTAAGAGACTTTCACCGAAGATGAAGATGTCGTCGAGGGAGGCCATGTATCACGCCTGATGGGAAATCCCATATTTACATGGATACCTCCCACGGGTTTCGTGGGCATCCATCAACCCCCGTATGACACGGAGGATGGATTCCTCGACGCATCCGTCCCGCCGGAGCGCATGCCGTTCGTAGTTCATCCGCTAACTTGCTACAGTGGTCACCTCCTTTGCTTTTCGCTTGCTACAGTGGTCACCTCCTTTGCTTTTCGCTTGCTACAGTGGTCACCTCCTTTACTTTTCGCTTGCTACAGTGGTCACCACCTTCACTATTCACCTGCTACAATAGAAACCTCCTTCGAATTCACGTGCTACGATGGTCACATCCTTTACTACTAACTTGCGACAGTGGTCATTCCCTTCGCCATCTACTTGCTACAGTGGCCGCCGATCGAATCTCCTGGCACCACGTTAACCCTTTTCGCATTCCTGCGAAGCAGCCACGATTTCGATGTCATCTTTTCGTGCGCGACCCAAATCCAACCCGAATCGACTTCGCCTCAACACGATTCGACTCGTTTCGAATCGCGAGAAGAAAAAAAAGATATCAGTAAATGTGCCCGGCGGCGTTGCGATGAGAGACGAGCTCCGTTTTCCCCCGGTAATCAGAAATTCATCACCACATTTTAAATTTAATTGAATAAAACAAAACACATGTTCTGACGTCGCTACGAGTAAATGTTTTGAAAATACGACAGGATAAAAACTTTTCTCCCCCACGCTTTCGAATGGACGTTCCAAAAGGCATCGGTTTTGGCATCGATTCTGGAACATCCACAAGCAAATCGAATTCTCTTGAGACGAAAATTTTGACCATTGGATTTCTGGCGAGAATTGCCAAAATTGGCATTCCGAGAGCAAAACTTGTCCAAGTCGATTCAGGAATTTTTTTTTTTTTTTGCTTTAAAAATTTCTGTCGCCAGATGGTGTGTGCCACGCACCTCCACAGCCTTCCTCAGCCCTCCTCAGCCCTCCTCAACCCTCCTCAGCCCTCCTCAACCCTCCTCAGCCCTCCTCAACCCTCCTCAGCCCTCCTCGAGTCCTCTGAGTTACGATGATGACGATCGTTGCTCAACGATTCGTAATATAAATAATAGGATTATTATAATTAATCGCTCGAAAAGCTTTTTAACCTTCCTCTGCGAATCGAGAATAAAATGCGAAAGAACGATAATGATATAAAAATAAATGATGATGAATCGTAATGGTCTCCTGGCGGGGGCAGAATGTCGTAACTTGAGCGCATTTTTCAGCCATGCGCAAATAAATCATGCTGCTTTAATAAATTACGGCTCGGGCGTGAAGCGAGGAGCGAAAGCCCGCAGTTGACGCGCTTGAGCGTGCTTAATTAAGGGGATCGGAGAGGCGTTGAGGGGTTTTGAGTCGAGGGGGGGGGAGGGGGGGGGGGGGGGGGGGAGGATTCGTGATTTCCGTTTTGTTTTTGGATAGGTTGTTTATTGGTTGAGGAGTTTGAGATGGGTCTGGGGCGTCTTGTGAGGGATGTTGGTGGGGGCTCTCGTCATCCGCTTCTGTGGGAAGATGAAAAGTACTTTTTTTTCAGAGATAAATTGTGGGTTCGTCAGGAGCGAATGCAATTTTATCTGAGGTTGTGGTTCGTGGGTGGAGCGAGATACGGGAGCGAAAAAGAGCGGGGTGTCATCAGAATATGGTGGAGGTTTGGAGGGGGCTGCAGGGAGCTGAGGCTAAAAAAGGATGTAGGGGGTTTGGAGGGGGCTGCAGGGAACGGAGGATAGAAAAGGATGTAGGGGGTTTGGGGGGGCTGAAGGGAGCTGAGGATGAAGGAGGTGGGAGGAGGGGGGGGGGGGCTGCAGGGAGCGGAGGATAGAAGAGGATGGAGTCGTGGCCGAGGGAGTCAGTCTCGAGCGGATGTTGCGACACGACGCATGCCGCGTGCTCCCGCCTCTCGTGGTTGGGCAATCTCTTCACGGTTCCAAGCGCTCGGATCCGTGTTTGTTCACGGTGTGACCGACGCATTCGGGGTAACATCACGGCGTGCATACTTTCGCCTTTCGCTCATCACTCTGCCGCTCCTTCGCCGGTGTCGGCCGCCTCCACTGGTACGTCCTGTCGGTCCCGTCTTTTTTAAGACACGTTGGATCTCGGATCGAGGGGAGACGGAGCGTCGAATCGGGCTCGAAACGGGCCGAGAACGAGGCGCGAGTTCCTTCGGCCGTCACGTACGGGAAAGAGGTCACCGAGTGGATTTCCGAAGTGCGATGCAAAATGACAGTCATCCTGCGATGACTGCGATTCTTTCCTCTTTCGCTCTAAAACGCTTCTCGGCGCAATCATCGGCTTCTGCGGCTAAATTGGTATTCGCTTTTCCTGTGCCATAAATTCACCACAGCCCTGCCGGAATCCTCGATGAGCCCCCAAAATTAATATGTAAATTAAAATAAATTATAAAATAAGATAAGGCGATTATAAGCTGGCGTGCGAGCGACGAGAACGAGTACGAGGCGTGCGCATGGCAAGGCCGACTCCGCCGCCGAGCCTTGGAAAAGGTCCCTCAAAACAAGGGAGGAGGGAGAGAGGGAGAGAGGGAGGAGGGAGGAGGGAGGGCAGAGGTGGATTGCGTGGGCGGTATGAGGTCGGGTCCATGACGGATCCGTCGAGTGAAAGGCATGCCGATATAATGGTATGCATATCTCAGAGATGTGCCGAGCTTCAAATGGGGCTTATTTCTCTGGCTAATTACCGTCGGTGGTTTATGTATGGCCGGAGGCGATCATTAGTTCCACTCGTCCGGGAAAAATCCAATCCCTCTTCTCCATTAACCGAAAAATCCCGAACTGCTGGATCTGATCGGGTCGTTAATCAGGGTTTCTCCGGATTGCTCTCCCATGTTCCTCCGCCTTACACGGGGATCGGGGAGGAGCCAGGAAAAAAAAAAAAAGCGAATCCTCCTCGGTTTCCCTCGTCCGCCCCGCCGTGAAACGAAATCGATGTAAACACGCGGAATTTCCCTCGAATTTCCCTCGAATTTCCCTCGATCCCGCATGCATGCATGCGCTCCGACCTCCGCGGGACGAAGGGACGCACGGAACGAGAAAACACATTCCGCGGATGGCGATTCCTCGATAAGCCGAGGCATTCTTCCCCTGCCTCGCGATTTCCTTCCTCCTCTGGGCCTCTATGGGAAGAACTCCCGAGGTTTTATGGTTAAGTGCTGCCGACTCGCCCCGAATTCCATCTCTCGCGAGTGAACGAACTCGTCCGAGGAATCCAATTCCCTGTTCCTCTTTTTTTTCCCTCGCTGATCCACGTCGACATTTTTTATTTTTGCGTTGATCCACGTCGACATTTTTTATTTTCGCGTTGATCCACGTCGACATTTTTTATTTTCGCGATGATCCACGTCGACATTTTTTTTCAGTGGGCGAGAAGGGCGTCGGACGAGTGAACCGAGGAGGAAGAGGGAAATTGGGAGCGGGATTGATTCCCCTCGGAAGTCCTCCCCCTCGGCCCGGGAACGGCGAGGATGCCCTCAAGGACGATGTCCTTAAGGACATCCTCTTCCTCGGCCAGGACGGCAAGAGCCTCGTCTGCAACTGTCCCGCCCAGCTCGGCAAGTCTTCCCATCAGGTACGTGACACTCTCTCCAGGCATCTTCATAACAGGTATCGTACCAGGCATCGCAAAACAGGTATCGCCTCCCCCGCCCCGCAACAAGTACCGCGATAAGCATCTCGTAACAGGCATCGCAACACGCCCCGCTCAACAGGCACCCCAACAGGTATCGCATAACAGGCACGACCGTCCCGTCCCGAGCGGAATGCATCGCAAGGGAGGCTTCAAGGGAGGCTTCGGAGCTGTGCCCAGTAGCAGGCTCGGTCGTGTGGATCGCTCAAGGGCTTTCCAACATGAAAAGGAAAAAAAAAAAAAAGGGAGATGGCTGGGAGCCATCTCCTCTTCTACCTGAGTAGCATGAAAAACCCCTATACAATAATTATCATTTTCATTGATGTTTGATCCCGATGCCCCAAGGGGATCCCAGATCTTTGATGGAATGCTGCTGCATCGCACTGTGTCCTCTCGGCTCTTTCTCCGGCTCCGGCTCCGGCTCCGGCTTTTTCTCCGGGCTCGAGAGGGAACGAGGAGGAGAGAAAAAAAAAATAGTTCTCATCCCGTAAAAGTCGTTGTGCTTCCTTTTCACCCGTCAGCAATATTTATTTATCAGCCATAAATCTCGGGGGGCTTTCTTTGTAGCACGAGCCATGCGCTGGGGGATGGGAAACGGGGGGAATACATTACACCTGCGTCCTTGGTCGAAATGCCCCCCGGCACGGAACGCCCCCCGGCCCGGAATTCCTCGCGTTCCCGCGCCATTTTCTACGGCCTCCGCGCATGCGCCCTCGGCCAGGCAATGAATACGAAATGAAGGGATCGTCGATCGAAGGAATGCGAGAGCCCCGATTGAAGCCCCTCTGACAGCTCATGGTTATTTTCTTCTTCCCCTCCAGACAAAAAAAAAAAAAGAAAATTCCGAGGTTTCACGACACATTTGACACCTAGTCACGGAATTTCGAGCCGCGTTTCCAAAATACCCCGCCTTTGTTCCCGGCGCGGAACGCGAAGACTCCCAAGCGTTACGTAACGGAATCCCCCATCGGGAGTCAGAAGTTGCATTTTTTGCCCCCTTTTGGCCCCTTTTGCCCCCTTTCGTCGCGCATGAGATTCCTCCCCCTCCCAAGGTGAACGCGGCCGTTGAAACCGTTCACAAATTTGGTATTGTAATTTATTTAATTTCTTTTCGTACCAGGTGAGCGGCGAAGGAGAGATGCGGCTGGAAGAGACCTACTCCCAACTGGACTCGTTCTACGAGTTCCCGGTGAAATTCCCGCCGCCACCCCCCCGCACCCACCCCCAGGGCAGCGTCCGGAGCGTGTCCATCATGGACACCCTGAGCGAGATGACCAGCGGAGACGTGACGACCCTCGCGACCCAGCTCCTCCCGACCCAGCAGCCGCAGCGGCACCGGAGAGGGTCGAAGGAGACGACCCAGGTGGCGGCCCAGGTCCACTCCCGCCCGCCCCGGAAGAGGGTGGTGTCCCCGAAGCGGGTCTCGCCGGAGCGGGACCGGGCCCGGCGCCGGAAGACGCCGGAGTGGATCCGGAAGATCTTCCAGTTTGCAAGGAATGGAGATCTGCGAAGCTTGGTGAGGCCTTCTTCCGATCCGCCTTGCTTGATTGAGGCCTTCTTTCGATCCGCCTTGTTCGATTGAGGCCTTCTTTCGATCCGCCTTGCTTGATTGAGGCCTTCTTTCGATCCGCCTTGTTCGATTGAGGCCTTCTTCCGATCCGCCTTGCTTGATTGAGGCCTTCTTCCGATCCGCCTTGCTTGATTGAGGCCTTCTTTCGATCCGCCTTGTTCGATTGAGGCCTTCTTCCGATCCGCCTTGCTTATTTACCTCGATTGGGAAGCTCGAGGTCATAACTGCGAACCCCGGCGAGGCCTTCTTCCGATCCCACTTACGACTAACCTTGATCAGACAGCATGATATTTCAACCCTTTCGAATGCGTCGAGAGTAAGAACGTGACCGCGAAGAAAAATGGCGGTAGAAAAAAAAAACACGAGAGAGAGAGAGAGAGAGAGAGAGAGGCTTGCTTTCAACGGAAGGCATTCCAAGGTCCGGAATGCCAGGAATGCATGACACCGTGAAAAGAAAGACCCGAGTCATAGAACTTCCTGTCTCGTCCGGGAGGTGATGGATCAGCGGAGACGAGAGGAAAGGCTTCGAGGAGGAGAGAGAGAGAGAATTCCTCCGAGGGAGGAATATATGGCCCGAGGTCGCGTGCCTCCGTGTCATCAGGCCCTGATGGAAATTGATGACGCGCCCCTCCACCCCCCCCTTCCACCCCCCCTCCACCTGCTCCCATACCGACACCCCCACGCTCCCCTCACCTGCGTGTTTTTTTTCCCCTTCAGCAAACGAATCCCTTTTGTATGCGGGGAGCGTGGAAGGGGAACTCTCGCTCGTGATAAATCCTCGACTTCTCCGGGGTGCTCCTCGGGCTCGACTCCGTACGATACGATGTTTCCCCTCGGTACTCGTAACCGTTCGGGTCCTCGCGCCCGGTCCTCACGCCCGGTCCTTACTCCCGGTCCTTACGCCCTGCCCCTCCGGCGCTGAATTTTCCCCCGGCTGCGACAGAGGCAGTCGACGCCGTTGCGTCTCGGAATGTCGAGGTGGGATCCGATTCTCTCTCGTTCTCCTGTCGCATTGTCCGCCTCGTTTCAATGGGACACATGTGTTTACAATGGGCGAAAAACCGTGTCGAGACGAGGCTTCGGAAAACAATCGTCTTTTGTGCGGAGAGGAACTTTCTCGGCGGGAAAAAAATTCCCATCGCCGGCACCCCATTATTGTATTCACATCAGACCTCATTTCGAACGGGGTGAAGCAATCCCCATTGTCGGGAAAAAGAACCCCATTTCCCCCCGTTGAGAACCGTGGAGGCCGCGAGGAGTCCCCGAGCGAGGACCGTGGAGGCCGCGAGGAGTCCCCGAGCGAGGACCGTGGGGGCCCGAACGGTCCCCGAGCAAGGACCGTGGGGGCCCAAGGGTCCCCGAGCAAGGACCGTACCGAGGAGTGTGATCAGATAAGTGATAGAGGCAGTTCAGCGGATGACCGATGTAGGCTCCTTTCCGTTGACCAAGACGAATGAACGTGTCTTGCCCTCCATCTTTTCTATCTCGCTTTTCCCCCTACTTGGGTCCCCGCATGCCATTCTCAGACAGGGGCTTCGCCTTTTTAAAACAACCCCCGCACCCTCATTAACCGCGGACACGATAATTTGCTCGGAAACCACCTACCATACCTTCCCCGGCCCCCAAAATCGGACGAGTGTCGGAGACGACAAACAACCTCGTCTGATTTCCCGGGGAAAAAAAAAGGGCGTGGAACGAATCTCCGCGCCGAGGAAGCCCCAAAATAAACAGGGAAACGACACTTCCGGTCGGGAAGTGCGTTGTTTGTGCAGAAAGTGGGAATTGCGGAAGAAAAGGCATAATTTTTTTTTTTCTCCTCGGCCACAGGAAAACGAGCTGCGAGATCTCCACCCGACGTTGGTGTCGAGTCTTCGCGATTCCCGCGGGAACAGCCTCGTGCATACGTTGGCTGCGGCGGGTGACGTCACGCCGCTGCAGCGGCTGATCGGCGGGGACGGAGCGCGAAGCTCCGCCCTCCTCAACGCGAACAAGGCGGGTCTCACCCCCATCGTCCTGGCCATCAAGGTGGGTACAGACGACCCCGCATGATGGATGGATGGAGCGTGACAGTTCCGGGAAACGGTTGCATGCGTCTCTCTTTGCTCTCGTAGCACGGTCACGTGGACGTGGTGCAGTGGCTGCTGGAGAATAGCAACAACGTGGAGCTACGTGAGGGGGGTCGCAGTCTCTTGCACTGGGCCGCCAAATATGGACAGGTATGGACAGGCCTGTCGATCAAAGATGAGGGATGGAGGGCTTCGAGACCGACGGTTCGATTGATGTCTCTGCTTTCCCGATTCAGTACGAAGTGTTGTGCTGGCTCCTGAGGTCCCTGCCCCCCGAGGACGTGGAGATGATGATCAACAGCGTGGACGAGAATGGGAACACGGTCGTTCACTTGGCGGCGAGGAGCGGGAACATCTCGTTGCTCATGACGCTCCTTCAGAGAGGGGAGCCGAGTCTCTGCCTGCTCACCAAGGTGAGAGATGTGGGGGAGGGGAAAAAAATATTTAAATATAAAAAGGCATTCCGCCATACCTGCGTGGATGAGGGAATTGAAAACAAGAGCAGGAGGGGGGGGGGGGGGGAAAGGAATCGATGCGCTATAAGTCTCATCGTTGCTTAATTACAGGGTGCCACGAGTCTTGGAATGCTTTGGGGGTTTGGTCAGGAAATTATTGAAAGATTTCCCCTCGAGGCAAGTGATGGGGGCAGGGAAGGCATATTCATCTTGGGGTGTGGCAATGGGAGGCTGGCAGAGACAAATCCTTGTGACAGATGAGAGATCATGGCCCACTCTGTAATCCAAAGGATGAACCTCTCATTATCTTCTTTGTCTCCTCTCCCCTCGGCCAACACCCACACGCGGACTCACTCGGTCCATGTCGGACTTAGCCCGACTGGGTTTAGCCCGACTGGGTTTAGCCCGACTGGGTTTAGCTCGGCTGGGTTTAGTCCCACCGGGTTTAGCTGGTCGTTAAGAGCCGCGTTTTGGATTGTAATCTGCGCTGCGTTGGGATGTCGGGTGCTAAATTTACGAAGTCTTTGAAAAGGAATTATGGTATGAACCTGAGTCGTGTACCTCAGCGGGCTTTTGTATGTCTGACAGTTATGTTCATGTTTAAAAAAAAGAAGAACCTGAAAGATACATCTCTTTGCCTTTGTGTACCATTATGAATGCAGGAGACGGACATCTGGCTCCATCATAAAAATATGTCGACTTGATCGAGGGGTTCATTTATTACCAACTGGATTCTGTTCGAGGACAAAAGGAAGGGGTTAATTTTTTGGGGGGGCTTTGTTCTTCACCTTGAATTTTTTTAAGGTTTTCCCGCGTACAAATTCACTTCATACATATTCATACAAATTTCCTTCGCGTTTCAGAACAAGCGCGGACTGACACCAGTGGAAGTGGCAAACATCGCCGGACACGGAGATTGCGCCCACTACCTCAACATCTACGAGGCCGGACTGCGAGCCTGCCAGGACGCCCTGCGTCTCCAGGACACCTGCCACTCCATGAGCACCAACACGCAAGAGCTCCATCGGACCTGCAGGTGAAGCCCCCGACCCTGTTAACCCTTCTGTTAATCCTAGCGACCCGATCCGCGACTTTCGATGTTTCGCAGGGAGATGATAACGATCGGGAAGCGCCTGGAGGGAGAGCGGGAGGAACTGGTGCAGCAACTGCAACAGCTGAGGCAGCACGTGATGGACCTGCACGAGCGCATGATCGTCGAGATCCAGCTCCTGCTAAGAGAGAACCAGAGGCTCGGTGGCACCCCGCAGCATTCCCAGTAAGGCTTTTCGATTCTCGCCTGTGCGGTCTCGACGGAATCGGTTTCCGTCCCTTGCACCTCGAGTTGTGGAGGGATTACTGTAATGTACTGCTAGCTGGTGCGTTCGTGGGAGCTGATACCTACCAGGTACTAGATATATGAAAATCTACAGTTTCAAAAACCTACTAGCCCATAAGGCTTCAAAAGTGTATAGGCTGATATTTCCTCCATTTGAAATATATATATATATATTTGAGACAATACGACGGAAAAGTACAAGTAATTAGACCACTACTGCAACAGTAGCAGTCACAACGGGTCTCAAGGAATTAGTATTCCGGCTTTCCTAGCTTATTAAAAATGAAGTGCAACCATTTGCAGGGAGGAACTGCAGAGTCTGGTGGAGGCCTGTGCGGACCTCCATCGAGACTGGGAGAAGGAGGAGGCCCGCTGGAGCCAGCCGGGGAGCCTGAGGGACCTCCAGCGGAAGCTGTCGCTCGTCGAGGAGCAACTCAGGGTGTCCACGTCGGCCGCTTCCCTCCACCCGAACCAGAAGAAAAGGCAGCCGTTGCATTTCGTCAAGTACGTTGTCCGGAATGGCATCGTGACGTTTGGGATTGGGTTAATTTCTCATTAAATGGTCTATTCATCGTTGTAAGTTAATTGAAAAATTATAAGCCCACAAAGGAACTGGATTTAAAAAGAAAACTTTATACTGACCTTTGTGTCACATTGCTCCATAGCACTCAATGGCCAGTATTGCTACCCCCCCAGTGTTACAACATGCAAAGAGAGAGTCAATACAGATACGGTTCAAGCTATGTACTCCTATTGCAAGTTTGGATAACCTCTTACATGTTGGCGCTCATGGAATGATAGGCGCTTTGGAGGTTTAATGCCTCACTTCAGTTCTCGCTTCTCAATATTGAATATGACTGTATTGAAAACTATGCAGTTTTCTTGAACTCACACCTATCCAATCCAACTGTAGTTTAGAAAAGGCAGGAAATGAATTTCACTAGTAAAGAGTGCACCCACTTTCATTCTCATTTGCTCATGCAAAATATCAGGAAAATGCTTTTATTAGGTCCAAGCTGATGCATAGTTACCATGTGGCACCAACAGCATGTTTGATCCAAAATTTTCTGGGGGGGTTTTCTTTGTTCCTTCCAAAGCTGAATAAAGCTTTGTAATTATTTTATCAAATATTTAGGATTTTATAGAAGTTGTTTTTTTTTTTTTTGTAATGTTCCCTGAGATTAGGGAAGAATGAAAAAGTAATTTTTTTTACATTTTCAGTGGGAATAGATAGGTCTAACAAGTAAATGTTACCTCATGGAAGATGATTAATCTTTACAGAAAGATTCTCTCTTATTCTTTATAATGAGAAAGTTCTCATTATAAAGAGTTGCCATAAAACAGTAATGACATAATTTGCACCATATAACTTCTCAACCCTGATGGCTTTATTGGATGGCTCATATTTCCCTTTTGTGTCTCTAGGGACCAAGCTTCAGGTTCAAGTTCAAGGTTGAACGGAATGAAGTTTGGATTCTCTCGGATGAACCGGAGTACTTCGGAGAGCTCCTTGGATTCCTACACCTCCTTGTACGAATTGGAGACGGAGGATGACAACCACCAGCGAAGCGGGTACTGGACCGACGGCATCTATGCGAGCACCCCCATCAAGACGAGAAGTGCCATGAAGTCCAAGTGCACCAGTGACCTAGAGGATGAAGTCCAGTCCTCTGGGAAGAGGGGGAAACCAAAACACGGTCCCAAGCCGGTGAAGGGGATCATGCCTCTCAAATCCAAGAGTGGAACTTGTACGGTGTTGGAAGTCATCGAGCCGGGCTCAGAAGAAGAGAACGAGGAGTTGGATTTGAGTGTGCTTGTGAAGGAAACTCCCACGAGGCAAGAGGAATGCCCTGTGCAACAAACTTGTGAGACTGCTGGAAACTCGAACACGGGAGCACAGAAGTCAGTGAAGCACCTTGTGTCGCGGTTCGAGTCCAAGTCCAGCACGGAACCAGACCTGATCCTTGGGACCAAGACCCACAAAGGACTCGGGGAGAACTCGGACTCCCCGCCCGACGCTTTGTCCCGACTCGCCGATGAGAGTTCTCTCGGTGGTTCGGTCACCGAAGGTCTGGGACTGGCAGATGTGGAGCAGCAAATGCTCCCACTGGACCTGGCACAGTCCTCCATGTGTCTCACCGGTTCCTCCAATTCCGACAACAGTTCGGCAGCCTCTTCGAGCAAAAAGAGGGGTTTCTTGCAGAAACTGAAAGGGAGATGGCCTTCTCGACGGAAGGTCTCCTCCACCCCTTCGGGGAAAATCACCCCAGAGGACTTTAGGGAAACATACACAGTGCGGGATGTGGGGAGTTCATCCAGTCAAGAGGATGACCTCTTCAAACAACCTGAGAGCACAACTAGCAATCCTCAGTCCCTCGATACATCAAAGCGCAAAACTAATCCTCTGAATGTTGTCGTGGAGGATTTGAGTGCTACTGAGAAAGAAGTCTGTCCTTCATCCCCCAATCAGGATGATATCAGGGTGGAAAAGTTGCCTGCAGAAAACAAACCTCCCCCACTGCCAAGTAGTCCTCCTCCATTGGAAGACGATGTGGAGGAAAAGTCCCTACCCCGAATGGCCCTCCTTGCCAAATCCACTCCAGACCTAAAAAGTCATGGAGGGATTGAAGCAATGAGTGTGACTACATCAGAAGACTCAGGCATTGTGGCACGTCCTTCATCCAGTGCATCCAAGAGTGACTCGCTCTCACGGCCAGGTTCTACCTCATCTTCGTACCTGCCGTTCAAGGGTTTCCCACTCCGCAAGGCCTCTTCTGTATCCACGGACCTATTACCAACTCCCGATTCCAGCACGGCTGGAGGGAGACTTTCACCTGCTCCATCAGAGGTATCCAAGACAGAGTCTGCCCTCTCACCACCATCTCAGGCAAGTGACGTATCTAAAACGGAGTCCACGAGACACCTGAACCAGCTGGGAAGGATAGAAGAGATCACCCCCACCGGTGAAGAAAGAACAACGAAACCTGTCCAAATGACAAGGAAAAAGCCTGAGATGCTTAAGGTTACTATCATGGAAGACAAGAAACCAGAAAAGAAATCCAAGGTGAGTCATGTTCCTCATACCAACTGGTCATACAATTGTATTTTCTTGCTTTCATTTTGCATGTGGTCTGTAGTAAATCAGACTGAAAATCTTATGAGACAGACATGTTAGGCAAAGGAAGGATGTAAGTAAGCTACCTCAGTCATAAGACATATTCTTTCATTCTAATGTAGGAGGAGATGAAGGCAAAGCGCCGCATCGAGAAGCCATGGTATGAAGTCTCAGATGATGAGTCGGATCTACCCAGCCCCAGCAGTTTATCCTGTCTCATCACAGCACGAACGAGTTCCGGCAGCGAAGACGAAGCCGACCCGCTTCGGGCATAGCTCTTCTTTGACTTTGCCCTACTGTTTACCTGATCCCAGTGACAACCTCTGTTTTTCTTTGAGGGTTTGTTTGTGTGTGCCAAGCTAAGTGCCAAAGTTCAGTGCACAATAGAAACATTTCCCAAATTTCAGATTCACAAGTGCAGATGCATTCAAGTTGCTGGTGTCTCTCAAGTGTTGGGAAAGAGGGGATGGGGAAGTGCAATGCATTCAACCCTACTAATTTGTGGTGCTTCATTCCTCCAGCAATTTCTCATAAGAGAATGGCAATAGACCATAACATGCAAACGATGACTTGAAATCGGGGGAACAGTTGTACTGGTTTTTTTTTTTATGAATGTCCTCAGGGATCACAATGTGCCGTCATGCCCATGTGCAAAAATGTCTCAGTCGCCCTGCATATTTGCCATAGAACAGGGTGTAGCTGTGTGCTCAAATGTGTGCTTTTCCAAAAGTCTTTACTTTCTTTTCCTCTCCTATCCGTCCCTAGGATTTATTGCTTTCTTTTCGTACATTATCCTGAATAAAGTGTTTATTTTTAGAGTGCTGAAAAACTACGAACTTCCTATCTTGGTATACCCAATGAAAAAGTTCACTCCCTTTCATGCAATTGCTGCATCCATGCTAATTACTCTGCATTTATGCAATTTAAAGGAAATGAAACAAAAAGTACCTGAGCTATAATTTCTTATAGTGTAAGGTAAACAACTGGACTCATGTATGTATTGCTTCAACATGCTATGATAAAAATCCTTAATTCATTAATAATTCATCCTATGATCAATTAATTCTTAAAAGAGAATAACTGCAGCAACCATAGATGTTTAGGATTTAAATTACCCACACTCATCCAAAGCAATGTTGAACATGCAACCTTTCTGCTTTGAAAGTCAGCCTAGCCAGCTACTGCACAAAAGATGTTTAATCAAGCATGTTAAAGTAATCCTAACTTGAAGTAATCTCATAAATGCACTTTTACAACTTGTCACCAAAACCATTTGTCATATTTCCTTGAAATTTCATTTAAGCAAAAGAGAATTGAATATTTATCCTCCAAACTGGATTGGCACCTTATTAGAATGGAGTGGAATCAGAGTATCAATCAAATGAAAGAGGGTGAACCTGTTATTGACCCACCATGTACATTCTTGCCATGAGTCTAAAATGCATTTGCCCTTGATGTGAATTCAGGTTCATCATCAAGGATTCAGCTTTTCATAAATTCACTCCCTAACTTGTCTAACTTGTCAAACCCAATGTGATTGAACCTAAAAATCCTGAACACATGATGTTTCTATGCATTTTCACCTATGGGTTTTTTTTTAGATTTTCAGATGGTCTGACATCTATCCATCTATGCATTCAACAAATGGGGCATATTTTGATCATCTCATATGATATATGGGATTTCTATTCATTTTTCAAATCTAAAAGCCATATTGAAATGTTTGAAGGCCTTCCAACACCAAAGTAACCAAGCAGACATTCTACTTCACTCTTCATTGCCACTACTTCAAATAGGTTCTAAGCATCTCCCCACTCACCCACTGTCTTGCCCTATATTCACCAAAGCTCTCTGAAGTTTTCCTTTTCAAATTAAGAATCTTCATGCTTTGAAAAACCTCTCATCACCTCAGATGCCCATGTCAACTTCCTCAGCACTTTCAAATGGTCAGCCCAACATTAAATGGGGAAAATACCTTATTTAAAAGACTCATGGAAAACATCTGACATACTCATACGCTACATTGATCCCACTGGGATCCATTTAGTGATTACAATAGATAACATTAGATATCAATTTTAATATTCTTTCAACTGCAGGAATATAATTCAAAGAAAAATGTATGATTATTGGATGAAAAAACTGAAACATCCATGAATGAACAAGCTGACTCAGTCCCAAAACTGAACATTTCAAGTCTTTCCCTATTTTCTCACTTTTATCTTCTCACCAACCTAACCTAGCATTTCTTACTCTCGTTAAAACTTGTAATTCTTTCTGGTTATAATGACTATCATCACTTTCATAATTATTTCCTAGACTTTTTCCCAGTACAATGATTACTTATATTCTTGTTTTTTGTTTCTATTTTTCTTATCTACATCTTATTACCTTCATATTTCCTGAATCCTTTTAAAGTATCTTTAAATATTTCTTTTCTAATTGTTTCATGTCTTTTATTCTGAAAAAACATCATGTCTCCAAAAATGTGTACTTTTTCTAAATGACATTAAACATTAAATTCCAGTATGTGCCTTTCACCATTTTTATTGAATTTCTTCAATTTAAACATGAATAAGAAACTTGAAATTCACATCTCACATATCACAAGGTACTTGCATTTGAACTGCTACTAGAAACAGAGCTGAGACATTTACAGCTCAGTTTCTGGAGAAGCGTTGCAATCGTAGCTGGCGCAGGACTTCTGCAGGCAAGTCTGCTGAAGTTCTACGAGTGGCAGTTATTTCCTCTTCCACAGGGGGAGCAGATGGTGTGAAGGATGGACTATCAGGCTGCTGCCAGCTTCTTTGATTTCTTCCATCAGAATGCATCTGAGAAAAAGGCTGACCCTGAGTACCATCGCCTGTTGCCCTTGCTTCATACCTATATGAACCTGAAGACAAAATTCCATCATGCAAAAATAGAACAACCAGAATGGAAAGAAGACTTTAAGAGGGAAGAAATCACCTTGTGGAGAATATGCAGCACGGAGAGGAGTGGCAGCCATGACAGCAGAGTAGTAAACTAGATCCACCATCTTCTTGACAATGCCTGATGTATAGGCAATTCCAACAAGTATCCCTGCCAGATGTCCAGTAAAGGATGCCCTTGGCACCAATAAGTGTATGATTACCAGCTCTATCCACACAGAATATTTAGAAGGTACTGGAAACCCATAGAGCCGCACGTTGTCTTGCCGATTGTAGAAGGTTGTTAACACCTTCAATGCAAAGATTACCCCTAGGATAGAGACAAGTTGACAACAATTAATGACAAATTTTATGAGCCTGAAGCTGACTTGCAAAGAAATAGATACCTGAAAATCCAATGGCACATGGTACCATATAAGAAAAGTCCTCAAAAAGTTGCCAGGCAGCAACAGAGATGATGACATAAACAATATTTGTGAGAACACAGAAGGACATGATCAGCACACCAAAATATGGTGATCCAAATTGCTTCTCCAATGAAGCACCCTTGACAAGGAAGGATACCATGTTGTAATACAGGTGCATGTCATCTCCATGCTCAAAGGGTGAGAACAAGAGGCGGAGCCATTCTCTTCCAAAATAGATGGAGTCACCACTGATGCAGATCTCATCTTTGGTCCAGGGAGGTGAGAGAATTCCCAAGTAAAGAAGGGCCTGGACAAAAAAAAAAAAAATCACAAGCCTGAATCCTTTCTTTTTCCCTTGTCATTCTCTGAGGGGATACTCTGCCAGTAGACCTTCTCTTACTCCAGGACATAAATGTTGAGAAAAATTTACCTGTGTGACAACGAGGCCCAAAGTGACAGGTGGAATGCGGTCCAAACCCATGTTCAACAGCTGACTTCCAAGGAGCACAACTCCCAGAATAGAGCCCCTTCTTCTCGCTCCACGATGCATCCTCAGATTCAATGTTGACCTTTCTCTCCACTTCTAAATATCCAAGTACTAAAAACAAAAGGTCAACCTTTCAAATTTGAATATTTTTAGATATGGCATGTAGCTAGGCATAGATTAATCACCTCCTTTGCTTTCTATTGTGTAAAGCTCCCTAGTTATCCTAGTTACCCTCATTGGGTAACCCTTCAATCATGCACTACAGTTACCCCATACAGTGCCTTAACAGTTTTTCCATTCCATCATCCTTGTTAAGTCATTGCTAAGGCATTTGAATTCCTTGTTTGACCTCCTTGGCCCTGAGATCAAGCTGAACATATTTTCAAACACACCTTCAAGAATGAAAAATCAAAAATAACAATTTAGGTCCAAACAAATTTAGTGAGATCTCTTAGAGTACTAAACCAGTCTTCTGAGCAATATTATCATCAACCATGCCATATTCAATACCTATCAGCAGCTACAGGACTGTGTGTTTTTGTTTGCTTTCTCTACCTAAAAAGCAGACATGAACTAATAGCTCACCTGCCCTCTGGTCAGGTGATTTTATTCACAATGGTAACTGGAAAAATTAATGTAATTACCACTTCAGAAAATGTGAGATCTTTCTAATTATTTATAAGAAGTGCATGGTTTGATGCTGATAACTTCTGTTTTTCATGCTGATATGGAAAAATAATTATTCCAAGTCATGAAAAATGCACAATTTCTTCGGGGTAAAACTTGTCCCTGTGTAAAGAATTTCATTGATAAATAATAAGTTCCTAAGTTAAAGTTAATTGAATTATAACCAGCCTACAGCTCTCTCTAGAAATTTGGTTTAGTATGAACAGCTTCTGATAGGCATAACATCATGATTTCAATACATTTACCACCCCATGATCACATCCAGTCAATCAGCCCCTTTCAGTTTTTCTAACTTCACAAATCACCAAACATTGAATAAAAAATTAATAATTCAACCAAGATGGAAGGCATTCAAAGAGAGATTAAAATACCAAAAGGTTCTTGAGTGTCATAGATTCAGAGAATCTCCAGGATTATAACAGAAAATGAGATTAATTTTCTTCTATGATCCTGAGAAAGGAATACCTCCATTAGGCCTAATTAAGTCTATTATTCTAATCAAACTGACAGCACCAGAAATTTATGATGTCTAAATTAAAGTAAATAAAAATTTCCCTCATACATCCTTACCTATGGAATTTCTATAAACAAGTAAACTAAGATGATGAAACCACTCTGGGGGTATGCAAAAAATGCCTATGGATTTTGGATTAACTATCATAAGAGGTATTGAAGAATCCCCTTCCTCTCAATAATAAAAAAAACAACCTAAAAGCAGTAAACATATAGCTTTAACTGAATAGTTTCAAGAAGAAGTGAATATCCTAGATTGGCCATTCATATATTCCAGACTATGAACAGGCTGAACTAGCAGCATGCTTAATCACCCTCCCCCTCCAACTCCCCAAAGACTAGGAATTACCAAGTATACGATCCCAGAGGTCTAAGGTAACACCCTACACCTACAATACACAAAAGTAAAATGAACCAGCGCCACGTATCATAGACCATAAGAATGACGCAACACTCACCAAAAACGTCACACCAACGGTTCCCCGCCGACAACCCCGAAACACCCTCGATAGACTGAAGAAACGGACTCTCCTGAAAAATCCGTCCAGAGCGCGGCTCAGGCACATCCAAGACCCCCACACAACGACGAAACCAACCCATGGAAGGAGGGCTGGCGAGCACATGTACGGGACAATAGGGAGCGGCCATCGCACACGATGACGACCCCAACCGCCATTGGCCGCCTCGTACGTCCTCACCCGCGTTTCATCCCGAAATCGGCAAGCATCGAATCAATGCAACTCGAATCTACGCAACTCTATGATGGGCTTCTACTAGAATCGGAGTCGATGCCATTCCCACTTAAACCCTCTTCGAAATTCAACGCATTCGACTTTGATCCAACATAACTGGATACAGTGCCTGCGGCTCCCTAACTAAAGTTCCAACTCGGTTACTTCCCAGCCGGGCACGAACGGGTTCGTCCTGACGACAGAAACATGACAGACGCACGACAGGAACATGACAGAAGCATGACAAGTACATGACAGAGGCACTTGGGAGGAGTCGGAACTGACCCAAGAGGAACGTACTGAGCCCCACCCAGAACGAAACGGACATCCGACACACGTCTTATTTACACACCCGTTGCAATCTCACCCTCTCAAGGATGACGTTTCTTTCTATCCGCTAATGAGCAATATCAGCGAGAAGGATCCCAAGGTCTCGCTCTCTGGAGGTGTTAATGTGTCAATCGGGCAGTGCCACGAGCGGAGGAGTTCCTCGATGCCGTCGGGAGGAGAGAGGAGAGGGAACTGCGTAGTACATCCATTCATGGAGAGATGACGCCAGCGTCTACACGGCTGCGGTAGTTGATGAACGCACACTAGCACCATCTCCCAAGGCATATTTCCGATGTTGTGTGAACGAAGAAGTGACTCAAGAACCCGAGCTCGTGAGAGGAGACCCATACCACTTGTTTCTCCTTGCATCGATGATTTAAATCGGAGACCCGAAAAATTCGAGAGGGATTTTGACAGCTACAGAATGGAGAGTAAGTAATGGCTCATGATTCAATGAAAATAACTGTAAAGCTCTTCACATTGACCACGATAACGATGCGTCTCTAAATGCGTTTTGCAAGGATAGACTCAGGGAGCGAGATTTAGGTCATCTGAGATGAGGACTCGAATTCTCTAAGCACACGAACAAGACCCAAGGCTAAACGTAACTGGATTTTAGGCACAGCCCCGCATTCCAATGTTATAAGAGATCGCGCCATATCCACTCTCTGTATCGGTATGACCCCATTATGAGTATCGCCCTCAATTTTGGCGGAGGGCGAATAAAAGCGATTTAGCATCACTGAAAAGGGTCCAGTTGCGACCTAATAAAGTGACGAAGGAAGTGCGGAGACTTTATTACGAGGGGCGCTTGAGAGCGCGGCAGGTTTTCCCAACCCCAAAGTACCATTCGAGCCGGTTGCGGAATGATCTAATCGTCGAGTGACTGAAATTTTATGATCCAGACGTTTTTGCACGTCCAGGCTCCAGTGCAGAGGTGCTTCAAAAATATTTCAACTTCAACTTCAAAGGATTTCCTGGTCGCTGGATCAGAAGAGGTGGCCCTATCCCTTGACCGCCGCGATCACCTGACATCACCCCACCTGGTTTCTTTTTGTCAAGGACGTCGTCATCAGAACCAAAGTGTCACAGATTACTGAAACGAGGCGCCGAATCTATGCTGCACCGTTGCTGCCAACATGCTGAGGAATAACTGACCTGAAATTGAATATCGGCTCGACGTTTCACGAGCGACTACCATGCTGAAGTTTCCTGATTAATTATTATGAATTAGGAAAAAATGTAGACCGTGCTTCATGCACTGGTGAAAGCCATTAATTTCTATCCATATTACTTTACGAGAAACACATTTAAAAAAGCAACTATCATTTTTGGACATCCTGTATATCCATTATTAATTTCCAGGGTAGCTACGAAAGTGATCAAGTACGGCAGATATTGACTGTATACTCGAACCACATAGTTCCCGATCGTTCGGAGACCAATTCACTATAAATAAATGATCCAGGCTGCGTAATACCAAATGATTGCACAGAACCAATAAACAGTTTATAGATACTTATGCCAGTGATCCATTTCGAATGTTGAGAGGTGTATATTTATATAATTTAAAATTTAACACAAGGGAGCCTCTAAAAAAAAAACTTTCTGACGTCTTCTTTTAAATTCTATTGGCATATTTTATATGCTTTCTACTGTTTCGACGTGTCTTTTCCTACATTTTGCAGCCAACTAGCAACAATTTTTGACACACGATCCACAAAAACGCGAAAGCACTGCAACAGCCAGAAAAGGCGATCGAAAAAATTCTCAACTTCCTGGTCAAAAAATCCTCACGAAGAAGACCAGTCCGCACAAAAAACGTCAAAACGTTAAAATTTAAAACCCGTTATGGCGAAACGAGAGGGGTAAAACGGTGACACCATATTGAATTACCTGTAACGTGCGCTCGATTTATCTCTATTTTCGATGACCTACAAAAATTAAGGGTCGAAACTCGTTCGCCCACGTGGACCGTGGACTAAAAAAAAAATGTTTTCTCCAGGCTGATTCAGATAACCTTAGATTGCAGCTCATGAAAATCATGAAATGATTCATGAAATCCATAGACCCTTCATGCATGAGCAGGGTTCACACTAGCTTTTTTACATCCTGAGTCCTGGCGCCTGGCTTCAATTCTGTGGGAACACGCTCAGGTGGTTGCCGTTGAATCACGGACACGGATGTTTTGCAAATATGCATCCCTCCAAGAAAATGTAAGCCAGGGACTCGCTATAGCGAGTTAACGTGAACCCTGCACGAGGATAGACACTTAAGAACTTACATATTTTACTTGTTTATATTCAGATGTTTAGATGGACAGATATTTATATGTTCAGGCATTTACATATTTATATTTTCAAATATTTGGATGTTCGGATATTTATATATTTAGAGATTCAGATATTTAAATATACACTTGGTAAAACTCGCTTCAAATGCGCAGAATTCCAACACTGCAAATAAAAGTTCCACATTCTGCAAATGCTGCAATCGGTATGCATCGAATACAAGATGTTGATTTTTTTTTTTAAAGAAACGAGTGCATTCACTAAAAACACGACTCCATGCAGCAGTTAATTTCATAAACAGCAGTTTAACGAACTACGAGATCCCCAACTGCGTGTAGGTGGCCCTGGCAGGAAGTTTTCGATCAAACCATTTTGAAACGCTTTTTGCGGCATTCAAAATAGGTGAACAAACTCATTGAACCCAGAGCCAGAGGGAAAAATGATTTTTCTATCATCATCTCCCTAATCCAAAAATAGGAATTAACTTGAACTTTTCTACACGCAACTGTAATTCATAGAATACCTTTAACCCACGCCATCCTCGTTGGCACCGCGATCGCGACACCCAAAAATAAAATCCAACAGATGCCAGACCAAATGCGTCACCCCTTTCTAGAGTGCAGATAACGACACCTCACACCATCTCATTCGAACTAGTGTCTCCTCCACACGCATCGACATGGTCTATCGCTTGCACATCCTCTTCCTCCTGGCCGCACTCGGTGAGTCCCCACCTCCTCCTTCTTCCCCCTCCGACCCCACCCCCTTCCACTTCCCGTCTCTTCCCCCTCAGCGTGGCGAGCGGACGGGCAGAAGCGATGCTACACGTGCACCACGAGCAACCCACCACCCGGCGACCCCTGCGTCGAGGACCCCGCGAACGTCATGGTCGGATCTTCCATCACCCCCTGCACCAAGAAATACTGCACCATCTTCCGACAGGAACTAACCGAGGAGAAAGGTGAGGCCGGTCCCAACAGAACTTATCGATACGCATTCGAACCCTTTCGGTTAACTCGACAGAGACATACAATCGAAGCCGGATTCCGTGTCGTTTACGAACACCCCACACGAGAAGTCATCCGCGAGAGAGATCCACGGTATTCCATCTTCATATAAGGGCAATTTTAGCTAACAAAGTGGCATTTAAAAGCGGCTGCTGTCATGCAATATGTAACGAGGCCACCGTCAGCTTTCCCAGTTGGAAGCGCATTGCAGAATGCATTCAACTATTGCGCAGTCCAGAACAAGAATGTATTACAGTTTTTGAGGACTGCACATTGCATACAAGCGTGCCGGTTTTGGGGGGGAAACGGTTTTTTGTTGCTCCAGAGGCCCTCCCCTCCACATACACCCTCCTTCTCCACCCCATCCACCTCCACCCCCCCACCTCCATCTTCCCCACCACTCTCCAGGTTTCGCTGTGCTTACCAATTGCGCCGACATTCTCAATTTTTCCTGCTGGCTGAAGCAGATAATGGTGGATTCCTTATCGCGACCCCGATTAAATCTTCATCCTCTCTGATCCATGTGCGCACACCTAGCAGTGCCCCTCAAAGAACAAACAAAACCGAGCTCTAATCTGCATCAGCGACCTTTGATCGCGGAAATATATGAGCGCAACGGAACTGCAGCGGAATATTTATTTTTCTCGTTCCACAGAGCAAATACGTGCTCGCAGCGAAAAGGGGGAAAAAATAGAATGCGCAAAAATCTGCATTAAGGACGGAACGCACTGCCCCGATGACACAGAAAGCATCCACTTCATGCAAGCAAAGGTTTCCTGCGATCGATAAAGCACCAATGTGTGCTAGTGTGAGCCCCCTTAATGTCCTTGTAATTTCTCGCTTGCCATATACATCGGCTGAGTGCATATTAGTCACACGGACATTGATGAACATCCGCGTGCATGCATTTGGGTTTATGGGGCAGAAAGCGCGGAAAGGTTCCCCTGTGAGGATCAGGATTTGTGCCAGCAAAAAAGGTGGTTTGACACCATCGACCATCGACGATCGACCATCTTGGCTCGATAATGCAAAAAATTTTTAGATCCTGCCTAAGTTGGAAAAAAGGCGAACGAGTCCTCTGCCAGAGAAATTACGAATCTGCATCGGTGCATGATACACCTATATGCAAAACCATAATCCATACAGATCTTTTAATTTTGTAAAAGTCTGTGCCAAATTGCACCTGATGCAATTGGCAAGTCCTAGCAGACATATTCCACATGGACATTGCACAACATTGCAACGTTCCTCGCAACGTCGAAATCGTGACGTTGGCGTCTGCGAATGCAACAGTGTCGAAACGCCCCCTTCAACGCCATCGCTTCGAGGCACCATTACGTCGCGACCGCGAGACGTTGCGGCGGTCAATCTGCGACGAAACTGCGACGCCGCGACGACATGGCGATGTCGCGCCCATCCCACGTCTTCCCAACACGATTTTGAAAATTCATTCCCATTCGCCATCCGGGCAGGAACTTAAAGGAAGCATTTCATCGCTTTTTTTTACACTATGGAACATATCATTCATCAAAATTTATAATTCAGGCCTGACTTTTCTTGTAGATTGTTTTAATACGATTTTTTTCCCTCCAAGTCAATAACTAATGCATGTATCAGCACAGTCTGTTGACTCCTGTTCCCTCTCCATTTGGACGATCTTAATAGATAGAACCAAATCATTCCGTGCGCAGAGTGAGTTTCGTGAAAATATTCCAGTACCATTAGCGATATACAGGATCGGTATCGATCCATAGCTGGGATCATTCTTCATCATAACCGAAAATATGTTCATACACCGTTCATGACAGTATCGACTCGGAAATCTTTCTCGCTTCACAGGTAACATTCGATCCTTCAGTCGTGGCTGCGTGGACAGGCTCGATAAGCCGGACGGGGTCTACGAGAACGCCCATTTCATCGAGTACCTCAGGAGCTGCCAGACGGACCTCTGCAACATCGGCGACGGGACCAAGAGTTTGAACGACGGGGCGGCGGGGGGTGGTGGCGGGGGATTGATGGGGGACGAGGAGGGGGCAGGGGCATGCGCATTCGTCGTCTGCGTTCCGGGGAAGAACGGGAACGCCGATACCCAAGACGAGAACTTGCTACTGACGGCCGCCGGCGGGGAACTGAAAGCCGCTGCCACGTGTCTGGCCGCGTCGTTCGCCACCGTCTTCTTCCTCGTCGGTTGATCGTTACACGTCGTGTCAGTCGTCTGCTGGCCCGGATGTTCCCTTCAATAAATTCTATATATCGTGTCCGCCGTTGTCCTGTTTCTGAAGGGCGCTTCGATACGTACCCGTTTTTATCCGTTTTTACATAATAGGTACTTCATCTCGACAATCCTTCTCGAGCGCGCGGCGCAAATTGGACGGAGTGAGAGGCTGTCTGCTCGAGGGATTCGCGATCTCGGCAGATAAACAAGATAAAGGGCACATTAACGTGACAGGAAGTGCCCGGGTCAGTGTTCAAGGTGGAATGCACACGCGAGGACGGAACAAAGAAACTGGATCGAGCGGATGTGGATTCAAGAAGACGACTCGTCTTTGAGCTTTCGTTTTTTTTTTTTTTTTTTCCCGCGATGAAAGACTTCGTGATCTGGTCACAAGCCGTCACCCACGGGTTAAGAAGGTTCAAGGTTGCTAAGAGGGAAAATGCGATGAGCTCATCCACCCCGCAAATTACGTCCGCACGCCTTTCCGCCGATGAGCACGTCGTTCGGACCCATTAGGACAGAAAAAGAGAGAGAGAAGAAAGTGAAATTCCTATCACGAAGTCGCTCTTGAGCTCCACCACCCATGACTCGAGCCGATTGAAGGAAATAAATTGCCCTAAGAAACTCTATTTGACGGTCTCGCATCTTCCCCGACAACCCTGCCCTTCACGGACGAACGCGAAACAAATCGATTCCAACGCGGCAAGCCGAAGCGACCCTCCCGCAGCACCAGACGACACCCTTCGAGACGCCCCGACCCCCGATCTGCAAGGATCGACAAGGATCTGCAAGACGACGAAGAAAACGATGGAAATTCGAAGCGACCCCCAACGCGAGCATCCTCTCCTTCGGTATGAATCAGCGCGCGCGAGCCCCCAACCCTTACATAAGCATCGACTTCCCCAGAAAGAGAGAAATGGAGGCAGCGCGGTTCCGGCCGACGGCCGGCAGTAGGAAGTCGGTCATTGGCTCGTGTAAGTCCCCGCACCGTGCCGACCAGATTGCCTTCCCCCGTTCGACGCCTTCGCAACTGCCGAGTCTCTCTCCCCGGAATCGTGGTGCCCGCGCCTTTTTTCTCTCTCATTCCGGGCCATGGGATCGCGAAAGCGAATTTACGGTCGGGATATCCCGCTACGCTAGATGTTTCTCTTCATCGGGCTCCTTCCTCCACTTCGATTCCGTTTCGGTATGCCGTGGATTATTTTGCTCCATTTCTCTCTCCTCCGCCGCCTTCAAAACGGTACGGTGGACCCGGAACGCGCACCGGTACACCTACCACCATCAGAATATTCACGAACCTCCACGTTCTGCGATCCGAACGACACGACATCGACGAAACGGCGCGAAAACCCCGCCGACGCCGCGGATCGCGTCCACGAATACATAGTTATCAGAAGGAGCGGTTCATCTTCCGGCCGGGTAGGCGTGTTAAGAGGTCCGCATTGTTTCCTGCGTGTCTGCAAAGGTGTGATTGCGGGGGGGGGGGGGGGGAACGGGACAAAGGACAGGATACAGACACGCACACTTCTGAAACGGGACAACGCATCGCGTTTCCCTAATGCCCATAGCTCCCTTCGTCTTCTGCTTCGAGGCTGCTTTCGTATTTAACCCTTTCGAGCTCGAATTTTGTTCGAGGCACGAGGAAAATATTCCATTAATTTCTCTACAACGCATAGAAACCACGCGCATGATTTCCTCTATCCCTTTATATTTTTATTTAATTTATATTACTTTCAAATTTAGATATGAACCATTTGCGATATTTCTTCGTTCCCCGCTGAATTGAATAAAACCGAAAAAAAAGTGTTAAGACTGCAGGAGCATTTAAAATTCAATGGGTCCCAACACGCAAGAGATACGATCTTCGACCGAAATCTTTCAGCTAGAACGTTCATGAGAGGTGATGAAGATAGTGATTCCATTTGGAATCACTGGTCCGGAAAGGGTGAAATAAAGTCATGGAACTTTATCAGTTCTGCTAGCAGCCAAGTACTTGCTTTTCATCGTACGTTTCTCGACACTCTGATAAAACAGGGTGTCCATAAAGTGACTACCGACTTTTCTATTATAGTAGTATTATATTATTATAGTATTTTTATTTATTGAAGTAGCCATTTTTTTAAAGCTTTTGTAGACTGGCCAAGCACAGACCTCGGAATAGTGTCAAATCTTTCCTCCTCCCACTTTGCCACGGACGAGAATTATAATAATTTCCCAGATATGGGTGTTACATTTTTTTTTTCATTTGAATGGGAAATAAATTCAAACTACGATTTGAGGATCTTTGCCGTTCGACCTCATTGCAACAACTTCTTGCAGTTACCACGGTATCAACTGAATAATAGGGCAAAATTCAAAAAAATAATAATAAACTAGGAACTTACTCGACAAATCGGCTCATGTGTTGACCGCCGATTTCCAGACATTTCTGAGCCGTGGCAATTGCATTGTCGGCAAGATTCATGAGAATTACGTCACTTTTCTGGCACATGGCATGAGCGACATTCTCTTTAAAGTTCAGATCTGTGGGCTTGTCTTTGTGAATAATGCCTCAGAAAAAAATCAAAAAGGGTCAAAATCCGGATATCGTGGAGCCCGTTGGCCCTGGCTGATAATTTAGGATGCTACACTCCATATGTCCGAAAAAAAAAAAAAATTTTAAACAAGGGTTTGGTAAATGAATTTTCACTCACATTAGGAATCCATCAGTGTAGGAACAAAACACGTGACACCATTCCGAGGTCTAATGATAAACAGCCTACAAAAATTAAAGAAATATTTAGCTCCTTCAGATTCAGTATGAAAAAAATTGCCCATTGGTAGTCACTTTATGGACACCCTGTACTTTCCAGAAATGAACTTGCAAAGACCTAGGAAAAAAATAGTTGGGAAAATAATTTCTGGAAATTACTCAACACTTTCGTAAATATTCACAAACTGTCTGCCCAAGATGCCCACAGAGACACAACTGACCCTGTGAACAAGTCATCAGGTAGCTTGAATAGCTTTGGTTAATTGCCATTTTTGAGTTAATTGCCATTTTCAAGTCCGCACGCGGGACGAGGAAAATTCTTGAAATATGCGGTTCCGAATGGAACCTTCGGGCATAAAAAAAAGGCTTTTTAAAAATTCCAGCCCGACCATCGCGAGAGTCGACCTGATACGAATCGCCATTACCCACGACGACTCCAGACCGTAACGAACGCACTCAAGCAGCAAACGAAGCACAAAGGAATATTGGCTCTTTCTTCACACTCGGACGCGGAGAAGATCGAAGATCTCGATCGGAATCCGGGAGAAATGTCAAGGACCTGAAGCAGGTTGAGTCACATCTCCGGCGATGTGACGTCAGGTGTCAAACAACTTTGACATTTGTCGCTCCTATTACTTCGCAAAATAGAACCGAGCATCGAGCCGGCTCATCATGAAACTCGTGTTTGCTTTATTCGAAAATCGTGCAGCTGCGGACTCGAGAAATTCCCCTCGAGGTAAAAAAAAAAAAAAAGAAAAAGAAAAAGAAAAAGGAAGGGGAAAGCTAAAAAATGCCGTACCGTACGTACTCACACGAGAACGAGAATCTCGAGCTCCCCCCCTCCCCTTTTTTTTTTTTTTTTTAATCAGCTCGAATTCCTTTGGATCGGTTTCAAGTCCTGAGGCGATGGAAAACCCCTTGCTTTCGTGTTGCACCTCATCTTACTCCCGTTTTTTGGTTTCCCGTGTTTCGACACGTACTCGTAAGCTCTCTTCGGGTCTGTGGCTGGTGGTCATCACCGAACGACTCCGAAGATTGCTCGTTCTTACATGACTTCATCGAGGAGAAAATAAGTCGCATTTAGTCGGGTTGGCGAGGGTGCACGGGTCAGAAAATCGGGCTGAAGCACCGTTTCACTTTGAAGTCCTCGATCCTCAAAGTCACCTTCGTTTCTCCTTCCGGAGAGCAAAGCGGTTCCTTAAATCGATTTGTCTTCACTTCAATAGAGACACTGCGTCCTGGTGACATACATAGTTCCCTTTCATACGGTCTCCCCTTTGAGATGTTCCAGGAACGACTCCCCGAATGGGGTTACTTAAAAATTCCCATCGAACTACTTACGATACCAGGAACGAATGACGATGACGAGGTGTAATTTTCCGGTGAGGGGTTAAAGGGAAGACCGAAATACCTCTGTGCCCGTTCGAAGTGAAATGACAATTAGACCGAAAAATGCGACTTCGATACACTCGTTCGGACTGCACGGACTAATAACTCATTGCTCCGACCCACCTCGATGGCAGTAAACGGAAAACAATCGAGGATCGTAAATTAAAGGAAACGAATGACAACCGCCAAAAGAGGCGTCTCGTTCCCCCCTCTAATGCAGCAAATACCGAATCAATGGCTCTGAAGCTCCCTGCCCCTGCATGACGGAAACGGTCGTGACATCGGGAAATGACGAGGATGAAGGCGTCGAAGTCTCCCAGGGAGAACAGAGCCCCAAGCAGTGAAGTCGGTCCCGTTATTGATGACCCGTTGGGAGGGCCGGGCGCATGCGCATGCGCCCGGCTCGCAATGCCAAGGTTCCCCCCCTCCCCCCCTCGTCAAGATTCCCCAAATACTCCCCATCCCACTGTGAGACGGTGAGGGTGCTCTTCATAACAGGACTCATGGGGGAGTGCTCGAACGTGCTAGTGCAGGAGGCTCCACGGGGAAGAACACGCGAATGCCGGTGAGAGTGAGGCGGACTCATCTCCATCATGGACTGGACTCTACAGCATCTCTTCCTTTTCTTCTTCTTCCCACAAATCCAATCCGTGCCTTACTTCCATGGGTTTCTCTTCAGAGGTGAGTTCTTTTTCAATTCGACTTCTTCCGCTCGAGCATGTTCATATTGAAGAAATAATGGGATTTCAATGTAACCTGAGAAGTAAAGCAGGAGTGATGCAATTTTGCGAGAGATCCAGCGGTCCATCAATCTCACTCCACCTACACTCTACGTCGTAGAGTCTGGACGTAGACTCAACGTCGTAGAGTCTTAAGTTACACTACGAACAATTAATGCCACTCAGACGACAACCCCTTCAGGCATAAGCCCGGTCACGTGGGAAAATTTCGGTAAGGGAAGATCACGCCGAAACGGCAACCAGCACGAAATAAACGCCCCCGCTCCCCCGGCGTTTCCTTAATGCAGATCGCCCACATCGCGAAGGAGGTTGACGCGTCTTCGTATCATTCCGGCGAACCCTTAAGGCAATCGCGTGGGAATCGGACACAGGAGGCAGTATGGTACTGGTGACCTCGAGCCCCAATTTGATGTCAATTTCGATCGGACATGGGAAAGTAGGCGATGCCTTTGGCAACTCGATATCCTCTCCTCTGCTCGCCTTTTCGGTTTAATAACCCAGACGGATTCGCAGCTCGCCACCGGCCACAATGGGGATGTCATTGAGGTAATTACGTCGGGTGACACGAGAGTAATGAATCGTGAAGGCAATGCGCCGTGATTACTCATGCGAGGTAATCAGGAGCAATTTCTCACGGTTGCATTTGCCCCGGAGGAAGGAGATGTCGGCTCCAGAGTCGAAGCTACTTTCGCTTTTTTTTTTGCATCCTGTCCCCTCCAGTCCAGGTTGGGCTGCGGTTCAATGACCCTGCTCTTCTTCCTCAACCAGACTCCTGTCAACATAGCTGGGTTTTTTCCTCTCTCTCTCTCTCTCTCTTTTCTTATTTTTACTTCCTGCTTACCTGCCTCGTGCGCTTGTTTTCGGCGATCGGCCCAGGCGTGAATGACTTCGGCTTATCATCTAATTTGGGTGACCTTGGGAATTCCCATGACTTGCACCTCTCCGGCCACGAATGACCGATCTCCCTCCCACGATACGAGGAACCGTACGACGGGGAACGCTTTGGGATGGGCCCGCCGTTAATCCCACGGCCTACTTGGGGGCACGCCTTCCCCCTGGATTCGGGCGGAAGAATCGCAAAAATTGATGATCGAATGAAAAGCTGGATCGAGAAGATAAGGAATAAGCATGCCGGCGTGCAAACCCCCGCTTTTCACACCGTTTCCTGATCCATTTGAACACCGGTAATGCCTGATGGAGGCGAGGTGACCTCTCCAGGGAATTTTCCTGGGCCTGCACCGTTACTTCCCCTTCCCCTTTTTTTTTTGCTACGATCCCTTATCTCATCAGGATGACCAATATTAAACCGCTTCATTGCGTGTCACTCGCCTCGACAGAGGTAAAACGAAGGCTAATCGAGCACATCGTTCCCGTCGGGTTATTAGTCTTTTTACGTCACGTCCTTGCGGCAGTGACATTTTCCTGTTCGAGTTCAAGCTGTGGCCGCATCAGAAATGGTAATGAGAATCTGAGGGGCTCGCGGCAACACGGTCCTAACCCACATTCTTAACATATTACTATCGAGTCATTACCGCAGACGACGCGTCCCGACTGCCACCTTTCAAACGCGACGCCATCCTGGCAGCCTCCGACTCGAACACCTCCGACTCGGAACACCTCCGACTCCGCAACACCTCCGACTTCGAAGGGCACTTTCTCGAAAACAGAAGTCGACGCCACTATCTCGCCCCGAGCCCCTCGATCATTCGGATGTGGTCATGAACCCAGCAGCGATGCGATGGACGGGACAGGTTCTGGGAAAATCTCCCGTCGGGAGGTCGTTGTGTAGACACAAGTCCCGTTCCAGGTTTTGGTTCCGCTTACTGATTCCAATCTTCCTTTTTTTTTCTTTCTTTTTACCTTCTTCCTCTCTCTCTCTCTCGCCCGTGTCGCTTATGCATACCGGTATAACTCATTTCACGGCTACTTGCACCTCTCACACGCGGGGCCGATCCCAAAGGATACGATCGATCGCAATTCTGTACCTTCTTTTTCCCTCTCTCTCTCTTTCCCTCTCGATCAAGGTCTGGAGACGATGAAGATCCGCCCTCTGCCATGCATGGACAGCAGAAGACAGTTTGCAGGAACATGCATGTTCGCCTGGGACTGCATGAAAGCCAACGGAACCCATCTGGGTACGTGCATAGACCGATTCTACTTCGGCAGCTGCTGCCTGATAGTGGATAGACCATTTGTGCCGAATCCGGACGAGACGATCGAGAACGAAATCCCACCGCTGATCGGCGCCGGGAATTTCGACTTGAAACCGCGTCCGGACGGACTCGGTTTGATAAAGACGTCCACGACGTCCACCTCCACGACGTCCACCCCCGAGACGATCCCGACGTCGCCCTCCACGTGGATCCAAGACGGCGCGTCCACGTGGCCCCCGACGTCCCTCGACAGTGCGAGTGAAACGACGACGTCGCCGAGTGCGGACGACGCATCCACCAGTGATTGCGGCGACGAATGTGAGGACGGCGGCGGCGACGGAGAGGGCCTGATCACGTTCACGATGGTGCACCCGACCACGCGTTCCCCGGCCACGTTCTTGCCCCCGACCACCACCTCCTACGGCCCACTCTTCACGTGGATGAGCGTCGTGGGCGTGACGGATCCGCCGCAGAAGGAGACGACCATCTTGCCGGCCACCTGGATCCCCACGACCCCCGCTTCGTTCACCGCCACTCCGAAAAAGGAAGGTGAGGTCTCGACGAAAACTTCAACGGATTCGATCGACGGCACGACGCAAAAAAGACACGGAGGCGGAGCGAATACACGGCACCACGCGGTTCTCGTTCGATCCGAGTCTAAACATCCGATAAAATTCACAACGTGTGTTTTTTTTTTCCTGCGTTGGACAGACGAGCTCACGTAGCCTTCAGTCGCGGGCGATCCCCGTGGAAAATGGAGCCGAACCTCGCGGGATAGGGTTTCAGCGCCGAGAAGGAAAATGTGAAATCCGAGCACAGGTCTTCTAACGGAGATCCATCTTAAGTTCCTCGCGTCTCACAGATTACGGCTGCGAATGGATGGATCACTCGTCGCAATTCATCCGTTCCCGTCGCCGCCTTCTCGGATCTTACTCACAGTTTTAAGTTTGACGGCGACCTGTTTCTGTCCGGCAATAAGTATACGAGTTCATCCTCAGTTCACCTTTTGAGTACGACCGCGCCCGTGTCGGACTACTTGCCGCTCGTCGTAGAAATCAAGGGAGCCTCCGGAGCTCGCATAAACTTGACCGTTTCATCGTTGCCAAATTCGCTCTGCCTCCATGAATCCTTACAGTCGACCCAGAGAAAGATTTGAGTCGAGTCGCGCATCGATCGATGCAACAAGGTCTCGCCAATTCTTCATTTCAGGGACCCCTCGCGAAATTTTTGCATTTCACAGGTACTTTTTTTTTACACTTTCGCTTTTTCGCATGTACTCGAAAGGAGGCCAAGTCTGGCGGCCTTCATTTTAGTTCTGCCGTAACGGTTACCGGTTAAGCTGTGACGTCGAACCCATTGTCCGCGTACCGTGCGGACACGACTTCTCCGAACCGCACGCTTCTCTTTAACCGAGATAATCCCGAAGCGAACGTCACCGAGGTCCGTCACTGAGGTCCGTCACCGAGGTCCGTCACCGAGTTCTGTCATCGAGGCACGTCACCGAGTCAGAAGTAGGCAATCGAGGCAGCACCTCCATTTGTCTTCTTCCTCCCTGTATATGGAGAGATGGAGTTGACAGCGGAGGCCCCGTTATCCTCCCTTGTTAGGATGCATGCTAACTCTACGAGGGTCGTATTCCCATTTCTGAAACAGAATGGGTCGCCCGGTTGGGCCGAGGCCTCATTTCCTTCCCGCGCTGCGTCTCAACCGAGGCGGAAAGATTTTCCCCCGTTCGGATGGATGTTTCGGAAGAAATTCGAAGAAGAGTTCGTTGATGAGTATTGATGGAATTCGGCATTCACATGGAAGGTCTAGTATAGTGTAACCGTGGCATATAACAATTTGGTTGAGTGTGTTCATTAAGCCAAAATGATTGGCAGCGTCAGTTTTATTTACTCATATTTTTGGGTGGGTATGCTCTAAAAATTATTTGAAAAAACGGTAAATTGTACGATTTTACTATATCTTAGATATACCTTTCGGACTGAATATGAGCAACTTGGAGCAAATAAAAATATGGGAAAATGAAGTAAAGCCACGGTTATTGTCAAAGCGCTCATTGCTAGCGTGAAAAGTCGGATTGAGTGCCTAAAGTTGGATGCTCGCCTGATTCGTCGGCTCCACACCCCGTCTCCTTTCTCAGCTGATACGATTCTCATCCCCTCCACCCACCCGACTCATCTCACTTCGTGAGTTGTTTGGAGGTAGATCCTACATGAAAGTTTTCTGGCAGGTTCCAGCACGTCGACGCCTACCACGATGGGAGTGATAGCACCCGCGACGTCCCCTCCACCCTCGCGCCGACCAGGACTGGACATCGTCACCACCACCACTGTCAGGACAACTCCTACCACAACCACCACCACCCCCCAAACGTCTCCTACTACTACTACCACCACCACCGCCACCCCCAAAACGTCTCCTACTACTACTACTACCGCCACCACCACCACCACAACCACCCCCAGAGCGCCTCCTCCTCCTACTACTACCACCTCCACCACCACCCCCAGAACGTCTCCTCCTCCTATTACTACCACAACCACCACAACCACCCCCAGCACGCGTCCGCATCCGCATCCTCATCCTCATCCTCCTACTCCTACTCCTACTACTACTACTACCACAACCACCACCAGAGCACCTTCCACTACCTTAACTACCCCCACCACTACCACTCCTACTAAGACCACCTCCACCACTACTCCCTCGACTTCATCGTCATCCTCCACGACAACGACCCCTCTCCCTACCTCTGCACCAAGCACAACGGAACAACACAGCACCAAACCTTCTACGACCCCCAAGACGACAGCCGAGCCCACGACGACTCACTCGTTCGAAAGCAAGACCACCACCCCCTTACCGACTTCAGAGACCCCAACTTCTACCACCACCATCAATTCCACAGATCCCACGACCACGACTATCCCTCCACCTTCTACCACTACCATCGATCCGACTGATTTCAAACAAGGTAAGTTCATCAGTTGAGCTTAATCCGAGCATGACAAGATGGAATGGATCGAAAGAATAATTTCTATCTGGAGGTCGAGAGGGCCACTGACAGAACCCACTAACCACTGTTCTGACGCCATTTATCTTTCGCCATTTACGGTTCACTGTCGTCGTGATTAATGTGCAGCATCCAAGTCATGTTATCGGTAACGACGAGAACTCGACTGACCGAAACGGGATAGATCGAAGATTGGTTTGAAAAAATCAGCACTGCCGAATTTCCCGTCCTTGAGGCAGAAATGAGGGCCTGGACGTGTATGTGTGTGTGCATTCAAAATTTGCGCCGCAACCACTTCTTCAACATTCACGGACCTCTCACCACAATTGCATTAACCTTGACATTTGTCGAAGCACCAAGCACATTAGCATGTACTTGGTGCTTTGAGAATAGTCCATTCGGTAGCATAATTGTTCTTTAAAAAAAAAATGTGTGGAACGTGCATCGGTCGTGGGAAAGGATGAGACCCTACATATTTCGGCTCGCTACTGGATTGGACTTTGCCCAGCTATTTTCATTTTGTGCGGAATTACCTTCTTATGCCCGGGGGAACAGAAAATCCCTGCCAGCAATGAAGTTAATTGTCAACAAGAATCCGAGCAGGCTTATATAGGGATCACAGGGGAGCATTCCGCACCTGCTGGTGGGAATAAGGGTCATTACAGCGAAGCGATGCCCGAGGACGTGTTAATGAGTGTCGGCGCTAATGACCCGGCATTTAAAAAGAGGGTCGTAAAATGGATCGAGAGCACTTGAATGACAAGGTCGATGTCCTCCACGTGGGGGGAAAAGAACTTGACAAGGGGAGTCAATGGAGTTTGCTGACGCATCTCCTCTATTGGCCCTGATTTGGAGTGGACATCGTCACATCCTCCACAATTGAATGACTTTCATGAGGCGCTAATTGGATCCCTTTAGGACGCTGAGATCCCTTGTCCATCATATTGAACAATGCAGGAAGCTCCTGTCATGACTTGCAGCTCCGCATCTCAGAATTAAACGAAAAAATACATACATTTTTTTTTCCCTTCTCCCTCTCTTTGTCCAAGCGAAAGAATGGAATACCTCACCCTTTGGATGGACGAATTTGTATGGATCAGCGAAGGATCCAAAAATTCGCGAGAACTTCACCCTCGTAATGCCAAATTACCCCAGCTGGGAAGTTTCCCTCGCGTGACAGATGCTGTCACAACGGCATCACAAGGGTTACAGGATGTAAAGCGATAAAACGTTGCCATACACGCAGCATGTCGGAAAATAAGTGCTTTCTTTCAAAACGTTCAGTGATAAAACCACCGGGCTGTCGAAAAGCTGCAAGCGTAGAGGCAAAAGTGGCTGGCTTAACGCTCGCTTGCTCCTGACGTGCCTCCAATCATCGCTAGTCCCTGATGGGATACATGATGTGATAAAAGGATTCAATCCTCCCCGCAGACGACTGCGCGCAGCAAACCACTGCGTGACTCGTTACATTTTGATGAGACGCTCGACCAAGCATAGTTCCCTAACTGCCCCGTGTCGAATCTTCCTCCAAGACCACCCGTCACGCCGACGACGACGCAATCGTTACTTCACGACACAAGCGTGCCTCCCCGGAATCCCATCGTCGCATAACTCCGGTCGACCGTGAATCGGTGTCACAGTCTGCCTCGCGAGTCCATCCGGTGACGAGACTGCACTCCTCGCCCCGAAAGAAAGCCGCAGGGCCCAAGGCCAAGGGCAGGCACCCCCTGGCCATCACGATCTCCGCTCGTCTTCCTCCTTTATCCCTTACCAGTACGAACGCGCGTCGTGCATCCCGGTCCGTAGAGCGCGAGAGGAATCGTCTTTGTGACATGCCGAGGGGAACGTGATCCCTCCTCGACGAATGGCGGACCCGGAATGGGCTCTATCGAAGAAATAGCCGAAAGGGAAAAGCAAGACCTCGAGAGAAAGAAAGAAAAGAGTGACAGTGAATGGGAGAGAGAGGTCAGGCAGATCCTTTCCGTGTTTTATCGACCGCAGCGATGCATCCACTGCGAGGCGTCCTGTATCTCCTCGTGGCATCCTCGCAGACGAGGAATGCCTGTGCCATTCTCTCCCAGCCTTCCGCTCGTCTCGGTATGTCGTTTTCAAACAGATCTGAGTCGTTCGTCATCCGCTTGTCACCGACGGGGCCGCGTGCAAACCGTAACAACAAGCTTCTACCGATGCAAACCGCTACTCTGCCTTGACCGATGCATCTCTAACTGAAGTAACCGCTAACAAAACAAACCAGCTCGAAAATTGTAAGAAAAACACGAGGCGAGGGAGAAAGAAAGAGAGGTCGATGCCCGAACAAGGGCAGAGGGGGGTTTTGTTTGAATGACCCGGGGCGACGGCATCCGTTGTGCCCTTCGAACGTCCACTCCCCCGATCGACAGGAAGTGGATTTAAGCCTTTTTCCATTTTAAGCCTCGGGCTCGTCTCGTGGAGCATACAGAACAGCTGACAGAAAAGTCTTTCGCCAATGGGTGCGGCGGCGGTCGAGGGTGTCATTATCCAATCAAAGGCCTGAGAATGGGGATTATCCCCATTGAAAAGAGAAGACAGTGCCCTTTCTTCTTCCCACGAGGGAGTCTCGTTGACCTTGACATTGGAGGTGCTTCCTTTGTTTACGTAATGTCGCCCCTTCCACCCCCCCCCCTCCCTTCCCCTCAACCCTCCTATCATCTCTCATCCGTAACAAAGAGACCAAAAACCACAACAATCCTATCCCAAGCAAATTTGTCACTGTCCTCCACCCTTCGAAACGGAAGAGGCAATCTCCAGGTCACAATCGTCTACGGAAGCGGGTGGAGAAAGTCACCCATGAGCGACACCCCTCCCCCCCCGTTTCTCCGAGAGATTTATGAGTCCTCGATTCGCGTACATGCCATCGCTGCATGAGATCGACATCGGTTCTTGCATACAATACCCCGCATCCCCATACACACGTCCGTCGGGCTCACCCCGCGACCGGGAACCCCACTCGCATGCCAACTCCCCGGGAAGCTCCAGATCACCCTTTGGGCCGCGATTCGGGCCATCGGTCACAGCGGCTGCTGCGGCCCCATCAATTACGGATGCATGATGGATCTCTCTTCGTTCCAGTGTGTGGGAGGCAGTTCTATCCCCAAGGAAGGATCGTGGGAGGGAATCGGGCCGACTACGGGGAATGGCCCTGGCAGGTAAGGCTTTCGCTTCCCCATTCTTTGCTAATCGTTCCGCTTTTACCGGCTCATTCATCAAAGTCGTTCGGTACATCATCCTTCCGATCGGGCCCTGAAAGAACGAAGTACTAACACGTCAGCGGGATAATTTACGACCGCCGAGAGCAATCCGACCCACCATTCACGGATTCCACTTTTTTTTCACTCTCGTTCGTTCGCCTCGCAGGTGTCGCTCCGACAGTGGAGAACGGCCACGTTTCTGCACAAATGCGGCGCGGCCCTCCTGAACGAGAACTGGGCCATCACAGCCGCCCACTGCGTCGAAGGGTACCGCTAAGTCCTCTCATGATTCACTCACCCACGCCCAGAAAAAAACCCACCTCACACCCTTCCACCTTTCCAGCGTCCCCCCCGACGACCTGCTCCTCCGCCTCGGCGAATATGACCTCGCCACCGAGGAGGAATCCCACGGCTACGCCGAGAAGAAGGTGCAGATCATCGCCACGCACCCCAACTTCGACCACCGGACGTTCGAGTACGACCTCGCCCTGCTCCGCTTCCTGGACCCCGTCCGCTTTCAGCCCAACATCATCCCCATTTGCTTGCCCGAGGACGACAACGAGTACTTGGGGCAGTACGGCTACGTCACGGGTTGGGGCCGCCTTTACGAAGGTGAGGTTCACAGGATTCATTTTTTCGACTCGATTTTCTCGAAATTATTATTTTTTCATCAATGGTACTTCGGCTCCACTCGAGTGATTCCTCCACTCCACCTCGCTGCTTACTCCCTTTTCTACTCAAATAGAGGAACTTAATTTCATCTATAATAAACGGATCTCATCCATCGCTCTTTCCAGACGGACCATTGCCGTCAGTGATGCAGGAGGTAGCGGTGCCGGTGATCAACAATAGCGTCTGCGAGCAGATGTACCAGAAGGCCGGCTACAGCGAGCACATCCCGCACATCTTCCTCTGCGCCGGATACGGGAAAGGGGGCCTGGACTCGTGCGAGGTGAGGACCCGCCCGCTCCTGCCATCTATCACATCGAAAGTCAATTAATGCCACGGCGTTTTCCCATAGAGCGAGAGAGATTCGTTTCCGGTTCCTTCCGTTCCCTCCAATTTCGTATCAACTTTTACTATTTGATGATTGTTCTGCGTCCGTTCGTGTTAACTCCCCCGTGCGCGGGGTTAAGCGGCTGGCATCGATCGTGTCGATGCCGAATGATAGGGCGGTTTAGAAAATGGATGGGGGGGTAAACCGTTTTCCATTCCTGGAAATGAGAGCACGTACAGGGCCTAAAATGCGACACGTAGGTGGGTTGCAGCAGTCTTTAATGCCTTCGCGTGCGGACTTTCGCCGCTGACGTCACTGAAGGGGAATTGGGGAACGGTTAGACAGGACTTACCTGGAGCAGCCGGAGGTTGGACAGCCGGAGGTTGGACAGCCGGAGGTTGGAACCAACTGGAGTTCGGTCGGGCTCTGGAAACAACACTGAGGCACTTTTCGATTTCCACGTTTCACATTTGACTTGCGGGTTCGCGATAAGGCCACACTGCATTGCACTGCACGAGATGAGGTCACTTTCACAATGAGCTGTCGCATCGAGAATGGTCTGCAGTGACAGACGCCAATAGAACCGAATGAAGCGCTTAACATGACTTAACCGGATCGTATGACTTGACGGTGGCAGCGTTTGGGTCTTTCTTCGTAGGGCACCCCGGCGGGCGTGGGGGTGGTTTCGTAGGTCCAGGGGGAAATGGGTTCTTGCCAGGTTATTAACAGATAGTTGAAATCTGGGGGTTCGCGACTCGATTCAAGATTCGGATGCGGAACTGCGATGATTCCAGTTTTTTTTTTTTTTTTACCCGCACTCTTCTTATGGTTTTGAAGAAAACGTTGGAATTCGGCGTACACGGCTGAAGAAAGAAGCGCGCTAGTTCGCCATTTCATTGGTTCACGATCGTTTCTGAGGGAATTTCAGCACTTAATACACCTGCAGTCACGTCGCAGCGTCTGGTTGCGAGAATTTAGAAGGAAAAAAAGTTAGGCCTACCGAACCCCTCAGAATACCAGTGTAAAAAATTAATTTATTTCCATTGGAAAACTTCTCAGAGTAGGGTAAGAGCCAGATACGATAGATATCAGAAGTTGGAGAAAATCTCAAATCCTTGCTGGCCTATCTTAGTAGCTCACGTACGTCAGAATGCCGCCCTTAGGCCTAAGGGCAAATCAGCATTGAGTTTCTGATCGTTAAGCCCTCGGCAACCGCCGAATGCTTCGCTTCAGCGAAGCCTCAATCAAACTTGGTGTGAAATCTGCACCGGTATGAATGAAACATTTGATTACACTTGAATCGACAGAAGAAATCCCGGGCGCATCCGCCACGGGATTTCACGCGCTGCCACCATCTTGACCCGGTCGGTCACGTGACCCGCCTCAGGCCACGCCATTGGTCCTTGTTTTCGGGGCGCGGATTGCGTCGTCTGCTGTGCAGATTCCGTCCGTTTCACGACGAACTTCTGATTTTCCTTTCACTTAGTTGCTCACGTTTTCAAATGTCTCCGACGCCCATGTATACGAAAAAACTATGAAATTCATTTGTTAAAAAAATAAAGAAAAAAGAAAACCTATACATACACTACGTCTGTCTGCTGTGAATTCGTAAAATTTTCTGACGAAATGCATTCCCTGCCCACAGGGGGATTCGGGAGGTCCGCTGGTCCTGAAGAGGCCGGACGGGCGTTGGCTCCTGGCGGGGATCATCTCGTGGGGAATCGGCTGCGCGGAACCCAATCAGCCTGGCGTCTATACTCGAATCTCGGAGTTTCGGGAATGGATCAACAAGATCATCGTGTTTTGACGGACGGCCCTTCCTGTTTTCCTCGTGAATCTCGTGCCACGGGTCCCGAGTCCATCAGCAGAGGTGTCCTCGACCGGACCCCGACAATCTAGGCTGGATTTTTTTTTTAACTTTCCAAATGGAAACGATTGGGTTTCCTCACGAAATGTGATATTTGTAGAAAAAGGTAGAGAGATTTATGAGGCCAATTCCCCCTGCTGGATGCGTTTGTTATCACCTTCGTCTCTAATGTTACCATGTCGACAATCTCTACTTTGTTCTTTGTTGTTTTACTCCGAGCCACGATGGAAACCAAAGGTCCCGTTGGGTCCCTTGTACCTGTGCTACTTCGTTGTTGTTGTCGCAATCTTTCGTTATTGTCGCACTGTTCTCGTCCCTCGTTTTTGTTCCCTATTTAATAATTTATTCCAATCGACGGAAGGGAAGTCTTGCCATGCTGAGTCGCTCACGGTGCCGCATTGTCTGGAAACTTTGAGGATTATTGTTTTTAATTTTGTTTTTATCAATTTCCCTTTTTTTTTTAGCCCGAAAAGTTGAAATCATCGGTATCAGTGATGTCTCCCCAGTTATCTCTCTCGTTTCGCCTCGTCCGACGGATGAAAGCAGGGGATTCGCCAAAGTTGTTCTCTCTTGGTCTTGTGAATATCCCCAGTTTTCTCCCAAGAGAATGTTCCATGCCGAATGAAAATATACAAATATTTTCCACACCCGCTTGGCCTCGTTACCCAAAAGATGATGCCTCGATTTAGCGTTGCGCCTCCCGGACCGAAATTTATTCCTCCATTTGTAAAGGAGTGAAGATCGATAAATACATGCCAATTTGAGTAGAAAAAAAGAGAGTGATCTTGCTCGTTAACTAGGGGAGCTCATGGGAAGCCCTCGTCGTCGTCTTCGGCCAGTTCCTTGGCGTATTCCAGGTCTTGCTGCTCCCGTTCTCTCCGCTCCTGTGGGATGAGAGTTAAAAAATAAATTTATCACAAGTCTACGGCAACGACTCGCCCGCACACCAGAGAGACGTCTGGAAAAACCAACAGCAGCAGACTCCAGGTCCTTGTTGTACGACTTCGGGGGGAACCGCAACGCCTTCACGCTCTGGTTGTGGATGTCGAGGCAGAAGGAGATACGCTGGTTGAAGGCCACCTGAGGCTCCCGTGTGCAGTACACGTCAGCCATCTCCTTGCTCTTCATGCAGCCCATGTCGTGGTCGATCGTCGCTTCCACCACCCCGTCGCGGATCGCCTGTCGAAGAGACCGAACCCTTTCGTTTGTCTCGTGGGGATGCATGCAATTCACCAGGTGAACAACGAAACAATCAGTTTGAAAAGTTATTATCTTGCTTATTTTCATGCTCTTCGTGAGATGGATGAACCTTAGATAGGGTGCAACAACAGAACGAATAAAAGAAAATTAGAAGCAACAAGAGGCAAGAATAGTTTTTTGCATATGTACATGAAATGCAATGATATTTCCATTTTTCTTGAGAGATCAAATTTATGAGACTAAAATTACAAGCAAATATACCCATTACGACGGAAAAGTAATAACCATAGAGTTTAGTAACTTCTTATTTTACAGCCAAACTTCATTCATTGTAGTTTTGGAAATTTTGTCATTGGCATTCATGTACAAACAACATAAAGACAGCAGAATAAAAAAGTGACTAAAGACACTTAGACTCCCAACAAAACAGAGAAAGTTAAAAATAGAATTAAACAGGTGTACTTCATCTTCACCCACTGTTGCATATAATTAAAGCTTAGATTGTGCAGGAATAAACATTTCAGCCTTTGAGGGGCTAAGGGGTCATTTCAGTTATTGTTTGCCAGAGTAAATGCAAATGCAGTTTTGTATAGATCAGTGAGGAGCACTCATCCATCCCAATTTCAGATTTGGCACAGAAGGTATCCTTAATATCAACTGAATTAGGGATACAAGGTTTAAAAACCCACCTTGGCAACAATAAATTCTGCATCCTCAGGAGAATCCAGCATGAGCTTCTTGGCAATGTCGGCCAGATGGATGCGGAAATAGCTGAGGCCGATCATGCGGATGGCAGTCTTGATGACGTTGTGCCTCAGTCGGATGATTAGCGTGAAAGTGTAGTCGCTCTGGAATTTCGGGCCAAAGTTCTCTAACACCTCGTTGAAGCGCTGGAGATTCCCATCTCTCACGGCTATGGCACAAAACACAACAGAGTCAATTAGGGGTACATATCACCCTGGAAAATCCTTGCTGCCTTCTCATAGAAACAAATAATGCAACTAAGGTGGAAAGGATGATGATGCAAAATAATGCACCACAGTAAAATTCTTTTAAATTAATTATTTATGCAAAAGTTAAAAGGTCAAAAATGTTCAAAAAGTCTTCTCCAGCAACTGCCAATGGTCCAAATTGTTAACATTTTTTACCCCAAGTTGTAGGTCTCTTTAAGGTCTGGTAGCAAATTTCAGAGATATCTTGATTGATAAAGTTGAAGGGAGAAGGCTCTTGGAGATGAACAAGTTCTGCTCAAAAGTGACTGTATATTCTTGACTTCTTGACCATAAACAAGGAACAACTTGTGCTTGACGAATCAGAAATTAGATCTTTCGGCAAATATGACTGGTTTACTATACGACATAACTCTGTCTGTTATTCCATTTTGAGCTGAAGTCATTGACTTCTCTTCATGAAACCACTAATAATGTATATAATGAAACAATAAACATCTGATGAGAACTGATATGATCACATCAGATGTTTATTGGGATCTTCTGGATCTCTCAAAATTACTTTTTTCACAGGAGAAACATTGACAAAAGTGCTACAGGTACCTGCAGAGGATGGGGGCTCCCATAAAAATAATTGATTCACAGAGAGGAAGAAGCTAAGAACAACTCCACAAGGGGGATAACCCCAAATAAAAGTCATATTTCACAGAAGCCAAAGATCCAGTTGGATTCTGAAAGTTCACTAATTACTAATTTGGTTCCATTTCACATACTAAGATATCTAAATAAAATTTTAAAAAGCTAAGAGAATTTATATTTTCCAGGTCATTGGAAATCACCTTCCACTCCAAGGTGACATGGTCCCTCAGACTTTGTCCCTCTATCCTTACAATGATCCAAGTCCTAGTTCAACTCAATTACCCAATAAAACCCTTCTTTTTCTCTTCCTTTCAGCAAATCATTCCATTAGTGAGTAAATGGAAACTTTTAAGCTTAAGTTACCCAAGGTGACATTCCTTATTTGCTATAAGGGTCCAGAAAAAAAACAAAAAAAAAACACGTGACACACTCTTCAGTATAACAACCCTTGTAGGTAGGGATTCATTGCAAAAGAATCACTCCCTTGACTCATTTAACCTCCTTGGTGCTCCTTTTCTTACTTTACTGTTTTCACTAGCAGCACATTCTTTCTCTTGTCTTATGAATTTCCCTCTCGCCAAAACTGACGTTCATGACACATATGTATAGAATGCTAATATAAGCATGCTTGAACATTTTAATTTTATATAGCTGGAAATATATTGAACATAATATACAGGGTACCACAAAACATATTTTAAAAGATTCTAAATCAAAACATCTCCACTCTCAATGGAAATATTCTGTCGAAACTTTAACCATGCATATGTGAATATGCTATCAACGTATCCTCAAAATTTCATCAGAAACTTTTGAACTGAAGCAATACCATCAGCAATTATTGAAAATAAGTTAGACATCGAGAATGGACAAGTGCTCAATGCCTAACTTATTTTAAGTAAATGCTGATGGCATTACATCAAATCCTGATGAAATTTCAAGGATAAGTTGGAAACACACTTATGAATGAATAGGGAAACTTTTGCAAAAATAGCTCCATTGTGAGCGGAGATGTTTTAGTTAACAGTTGTCGGTTCTTTACCCTGAGACAGTCTTGGGGTAAACACTAAGGAGGTTAACACCCTTCTTATTCATCTCTACAAGTGAGCACCATTACACGTTCTACAAGAGCAGTGACCTGCATTAAGGATAAAAAGCTTGTGCCTCATCCAGACATTGTTCTCAATGTGTAATGGCAACAGACACATTGAAGAAGGAATGTTAAGAAAATGCAGGTAGACCCTCACCTTGGGTGAGTTGAAAGTATGGGGCAAGAGACTTCCTCATGGATGCATGACGGAACACCTGGCGCTCTGGAATGTCTCCAAGCAGTAGCTCCACAGTGATGGCCAATTTCTGGACCTGTTTATCATATTTTTGTCAGTATTTTTAGCTTAAAACTTTAAATTAAAAAATAGAAGCAAGTGTTCAGTCCCACCGTCTGCTTGAAGCCAACAGCTGTGTGCTGCGGAGCCTTGCGAAGGGCCTGAAGAAGGTGTTTCCTTGCTTCAGAATATTCCAGTTGGATGGCTTTGATGCGACCCAAATAGAACAGGAACCTTGCCCATTCATTGTTACTAGCAACTTCAGGGAACACAGATTTTGACACCAGCTTGTCTGCCTACAAATCAGAGTAGGGATAACAAGAACTTCAAAATGCAATCAATTTTCATGGTGAAAGAAAAAGGGTTCGTGGGGAAAACCTCACCTGATCATACAAATTATAATGCAGATAATTTCTGAGGAGACAATTGAGAAGCACTGCCTGGCCTTCAAAGTCATTGCGCAATGTAGATGTGCGCAGGCGGCTGTGCATGAACCTAAAAGGACAATAAGGCAAGGCTGACAAACTATTTTTTTTTTGCACACAGCCATGATCTTTACATGGCAAAATAAACTATAGCCAATACACACTGCCTGATTTTTGACAGCTGATCCGTCAATTCATAGCACCGGGAATGGTAGAAGTAGCACTTTGAGGCCAGGATATCCAACGTCCTTCGGTTCCAGTTGCAGATTTTCTCCATCAGAGCATCTGCATGAAAATAAGACTGGTTTAAATGATACTAAACTTGAAACATGATCTACAGGGTAGATTTTATATCTGTATCTGTCTATTTGGATTTTTTAAAACTCAAAGTGGACATTGTCAAAGCAGCATGCACTGACTGCCATTTGATGCTCCACTTACTGAACCCTGCCTTCTCTCCTAAGTTTGAAATGACTGTCAGGAGCTATGATGGTATAACCCTCTTGAAGAACACCAATTCACTTTCCACAGAAAAGCCTCAAAAGTCTACTTAAGTCACTTCATCTCTAAATGAGCAATTTAAAGGAAAAGTAATATCATAAGCCTCTACATATACCCTATAACTGCATACCAGAGCACTTGACTGCATCTTGATATCGAGAAACATCCAGAAGACGGAGGATCACAAGAAGATGGATATAGACATCAACTTCTGGCAAGAGAGGTTGAGATGCTGACTTGGCACTCCGAGGTCGGAAGGCACTAACAGCTTCACTTACTTCCATAGGCTGAAAAGCATAGAGAAACTCCATAAAAATTCTCAAAACTTACATACCATAGGTGCAACTCAGAGTTCACATTAAGAGCCTCAAACTAACTAACCAAAGGCAACCTACCTCTTCAATGAATTGCAGCAATGCATCTCTCTCCTTATTTGAATGGGTGTAAAACCCAATCACCAGTCGCCTCAGGACAACAGCATTCAGTTTCTGCCTAGTCGTTGCAAGACAGCGGAGAACCCTTAGCATGAACCTTGGTTCCTTTGACACCACTGACTTCTCTATGAGACGAACATGTTCCCGAACGTCTGAAATGTCATGAGATTAACCAGGTCATTAAGTGGGAAATCAAATGCAGCAGCACATAGGCCTAATGGGATCCTTCATTGTGTGAACACCCCAGCAATGCCAACTTTGTTGAGTACACTTTCCCGTTCAGTGTATGTCATGGGGTACAGATGTTCTCATTGCATGCTCATTGAGCTACATGTCTGACATAGAGCATCCAAAATTGTTGGAACCTCAAGTTCTTAAGTTTCTTCTATGAATTGAAACACCCCAAAAGGAGTCTAAGAGCCCTTTATTTATAGGCTGGTCAATAGATATAGAAACTTTTTCACACTGTCCTTATCTTTAATATGCTTGCCATGGTAATGGAGTATCTGTTCAGACAGGCAAAAGACTTCCAACAAAACCTTGGAAAGAAGTGCCACACTATCGTCTGCCAATTGGTTTTCTGCTAGTCATCCTGGACATCATTGGGTATATCTCAGGGCACACATGGTAGCTGTGTCAGGAAAACCAGCCTTGGGACCTATCCCTCCAGAGAAGCAGTTTGAAGTAGAGGTTCTCGTGGATGGCAACCCTCCATATGATGGTACATGAGGTAAAGTGTTACCATCCATGAGAACCTCCAGTTTGCATTGCTTCTCAGGATTGAGAGATCTTAAGTCCAGTTTTCTTGACACATCTACCACATGCATTCTGGGTTTTCCAGAATGATAGGACGTCTCATATGGCCACAAAATCAAGCAGTGGGGTTAGTAGACCTACCCAATGCATGGTGAATACAGGGAGTAGCAAACAAGACAAAGTCTGGGTTGTGGGAGAGTGCTCACACAGTGTGCATAGTATTCACAACAAAAGATACCAGCCTAACATTAGACCATTAACCTAGGATCTTGTCAAGGCTATGAAATGAGTTACAATATTCCTGGGGCAAAGTTAATGTTGAAAGTACCTTCCAACGTGAGGAGATCGGCATCCTTTTTTTCAGTCTTTTCGGATCCTTCCCCTTCCTTTCCATCTTCCGGACTATCCACAGGCTTCATCTCAACATCACTCGACTCAGCAGCTGGACCTACCATCTTTCTACAGAGAGGGATTGCACAGATAAGTCAATCTGCAAAAGAAAATTTGACAGGTGAAACTTTCACGTCGCATGAAGCCCAACTGTAGGCCTATACCAGGCCATCTAACATGCCGGTGTGATAGGTCTAACCAACAAATTTCATCCCCCCCCCCCCCAGGCTTTTTCCAATTACAAACTATCCCTAAGCCTAATGGTAACTTAGTTTCGTACTTAGTTAAAGCCTAAACGATATTTAGGCTTGGCCTCCGGCATCACTAGGACCATGACTCGTCCTTCGACGATGAGCATGAACGCGTCCATATTACCGCAGTACGAGCCATTCATGCGCAGATGACGTCACGATCGTACTCGTCGCCTATTGGTCAGGTGAGCATCGCATCGTCTGCTAGCGAAGCTCGTGCTCAAAGGGTTGGGATCATTGTGGAATCCTCCTCCTGGCGACCTTGCAGTACTTCTTCAGCCTCGTCCTTGTCTGTGCGCAGTGCATTTAGTGATGCGTCACTGCCGGGGCCAACAGACACCGTGAGTCTCTCCAAGACGTTCCCTCTCATTAAATCATTAATCAATGACGTGAATGTGAAGTTTCTTTTTTTTTACTAATTTTTTTTCAACTTTTCCCAAGAAAACCTTGGGAGAAATCCCTCAGAATATCTGTCTGAAGAGGTTCTTTCGGAGAAAAATCGTTACAGAAAGCAAAGTTTTCCTTTCCCTATGAATAATGAATTTTCGAAGCTCCACAAAGTGAAACTCCTCTGCATGGAACGAATTGAATTTTTGCCTAATTTCTGCTCTCTCTCTCTTGATGGGAGAATAGTTACAATTTATAATCAACATCTTCGTGAGGAATGACAACCTGAGCTTTAGAAGTATTCTTGTTTTAATAGATAATTTATAGCATGGCAGACCTATGTTAGAATGTAAATTCTTTTAGATCACAAGCCCGATAATAGTGCCCGACAGGCAATGTTTTAACAACTGCAGCTCGTCCGACCCCCGAGGGAAACGAAGGAAAGAACATCGAAAGAGGGAGAAAAAAGTAATTATAAGAATGAGCAACCGGAAGGCAGATCCGGATTACGGTCGGATGCGAGGGCGAACGCAGAGGCAGAAGAAAGCCTGCACTGCACCATGTCGGCAGTAGGCCTCGTGGCTTACATGTAATCCGATTCCGTCTGAAGGGTTAGACCCACCCGCGGATGCGGGAGAGAGAGAAGATAACACGGCAGGTCGGGCCGAGGTGGGCGAAATCAACATTCGCTCCTCTTCGCTCCTCCCGCGCTCGAGTTGCGACCTCCCTCGGGAGGGAGGCATTCGCGGCGGATGCGGATGGCCTCCGATGGAGGCATTCGCGGCAGGGACGCGTGCCGCTTCCGTCGGTGGGTCTGAGGCCGAGGTGAGGTAACCGGGAGACGATGTCAATATTGACGGTTCTCGTCTCCTCGCCCGTTTGGAGCCCGTCGGGGCTCCGATGCTTTTAAATGGGATTCACTTCGAAGGACGTCGGAGGGACCGGCCGTCTAAACGTTTACGAAGTACTTGCAAAGTACGGGGCATAACGGATTTTCCAAGTCAAAACTGGGTATAAGAAAATCGCTTGCGACATGGAAATTCAAATACGACCTGTTTTGTGGCTGCCGGGTGAGGCAAACGTCGGGGAGCCAGCACACCTGCCGAGCTCCACTTTCTTTGTGCTTTTGGCATCTCCGAAACGGTCGAGTTCGCGTTTCGATTCGCACTCGAAATCGACAAAATCGACTCGGAAAACTCATCGTCGTTCCGATCGCCAGGTGTGAAAGTCCGGATTTCGCCTAATTTAAATGTTATATAAATTTAATAAACAGGAGCCGGGGTGTATCGGATGGAGACGGACAGCCCCGCCGTTGACGGCTCGGAGCCGGTGTGTCTCTCGCCGCCCTCCCCCGGGATGCCCGTCCCCGGTCCCTGCACATCCGGCAGCGCCTCCGCCTCCGCCCCTCACCCCGCCCGGGCCGCCCCCGCCCCCCCGCCCCACGCCCCCGCCAGGATCCTCTCCCGAAACACGAACGGAACCCGTAAGTCCCTCCCCCTCCCCTCACCTTCACGCAGGTGTGACCCTCTCCTAAATTAAAAAAATAAAAAAACTGGACGAGGTTGTCGCCGACGAGCGAAGCCTGCTAAGCAGTCCGAAGGAAAAAAATGGGGGGAGGGTAATCCGAAGCCAAGGTGAATGTGTGTGGCGACTGACAAGGCGGTTGATGTGTCAATCTTGGCACTTCATCAACTCACTCGCATTCCTTAATCCTGTCGAACATCTTTCTCCCCTGTCTTCCCTCGATTAAAACCGATCCACGCGCCCCACGACCAAAAGTCCCCCAGTCCCCCTCTCCAGTACCCCCCAGTACCCCGTCACGCACCAAGTACCCCGTCACGCCCCCATTCTGCTTCTCTCCCCAGTGGCCATGACCTACCAGCCGAGCAACGAATCCGAGCTGCAGCTCTACCGAGTGCTCCAAAAAGCGAATCTCCTCTCCTACTTCGACACGTTCATCAACCAAGGTCCGTCTCGCCCCGTTACTCCCCGTTACTCCCCGATCGCGTTCACGATGACGGTGACGTCGACAGGCGGTGACGACGTGCAGCAGTTGTGCGACACGTCGGAGGAGGAATTCCTGGAGATAATGATGCTGGTCGGGATGGCCTCGAAGCCGTTGCACGTCCGGCGGCTGCAGAAGACCCTGCAGGAATGGGTCCAGAATCCAGGTATTTTATTTATTATTTATTTTTTAGTATTTATTTATTTATTTTAGTCCGTCGATTTGTTTATGCGATTTATTCGGGGGCGTCTCGCGTGACGGCGTCGTATGACGAGATCGGCTCCGAGTTTTCCGGCTCCGATTTCGGGTCTGGAGGCGTGCAAAAAAAATGGCAACATTTATTTGCAAAAACGGCTTGCAAAAATTGTTATGCAAAAGCGCTTGCGAAGAGTATAACGACCGCGATGAATTTTTTCCGGCCAGGCCCTTCACCTCGGAGACGCGAGGGCCATAAATCAGAATAAAAATCGTGGGCGACCGGGATTCGAACTCGTGACCTGGCGCCTCGAGCGCCAAAAAAAAAAGACTCATTTCATTTCCTCTCATTTTCGAGGGAAGCTGCGTGAAGAAGAAAAAAAATCCTTTGTTGCTTCGGGGTTCCTCGAGGTACCAGACGAGTACACGAGCCCGGCCTTGAATTTTTTTTCGAGGGAAAAAAAAATTAATGTCCCTCGGATTCGCTTCGAAGGGGCGTTCGCCATTAATCTTCGCGGTTTGACGGGAATGGAACTTATTGACCGGAGGATTTTTTTTTTTCCTTCCCGACGATATTTATCTTGTTCCGGCGGTGCATGTGAGGAATGACGGCACGTATGAGGAATGATGGTGCACGGAGGAGAAAGCGTCTTATTTGCATAGCAAGGCCCCCTATTATCGAAAAAAAAAGGCGGATGCAATAACAATCCGCAATTCGGTGAAGCGAAACCGCGCGAACCGCGGAGCGATCCGGCGAAGCGACGACGAATATCCCCGCGGAAAACATCTGAATAATATATCTCCATTCTCGCGATCGATAGCAGACAACGGGGTACTGCACCCTCGCAAAAAAAAAAAAAAAAACGGAGGAAGGAATCTCCTCGCTCCGCCTGAAGGTTTTCGTCGGGGCTTAACGACCACGTGCGATGAAGGATTATCGCAAATTTCCTCGGCTTTAATCATCCCGTTTACGCGGATAATGACCGGTACGGCGGGAAACAATGTCGCTCATTATTAGCCCGTTGCGAACCAGGCTCGTCGTTATCTCGTCGTGAGCCTGCAAACCCTGTTGCCCGTCCGGTACCTCGTGGGTCCTCTTTGTATGCTAATGGCGAAGTACTGAAAAGGAGAGGGGAGTGTTCTCAAGGACGGAGGGAAAATTTTTTATGCATTTTTTTCTGCGTCTGGCTCTCCCGCGGCGAAAGTTCCTTTGTATAATTGCGGACATGGGGGGGGTTTGAGAAGGGTACGAGAGGGGTACAAGGGGGGGTACTGGATTGGAGGTGCGCCAAGGGTACATCGCCTCGGGGCTGGCTTTGTTTCTCCTTTTTCTCTTTTTTTCTTTTTGATGGAATTTGGACTGGAAGGATGGGATAATGAGGTGCTCGACGGGACTCCTCGCGGGTTCTCAGGACCTCGAAGGCCCGTCTGGACCTCGAAGGCCTCTCAGGACCTCGAAGGCCTCTCGAGGGAAAACTGGGAGCGGAAATCCGCCGAAACGACCGAATCCGCGTTAATGCATCTGCGGCAGTTGCCGACTTCGTGAGTGCTAAGGCCGTAATTAATCTCCAGTGAAAAGTGGGAGGAAGGTGGGTGGAAAGCGAGAGGAAGGTGGGAGGAAAACGGGTGGAAGGAGGAAAGGAAGGTAAACCCGACTGACCCCGATCCGTCTCCACGTGGAGCGAATAACCCGTACTCCGTACCTTTTTTTTCTCTCTCTCCCCCCCCCCCCCCCCCCCCCCCCCCCCCCCCCCCCCCCCCCCCCCCCCCCCCCCCNTCTTGCTTTTTTTTTTTTTTTAATGTCATTCCTTTTTTTTTTCCCCCCCCCCCCCCCCCCCCCCCCCCCCCCCTGGCTCTCCACGTGTACCGAATGAAGTACCGGGTCGATCCATCCCCCCGGGGGCCATCTCTCTCACGCGGAAGTACCCCGGCCCCTTCGATCCCGAGCGGCGGATACAATGCGTCTCCTCATGCAGCTAACGATCGCGGCAATTGCGGGGGGAAACCGACCCGTGCTTACTCAAACGGGATCCACTGTTTTCTTCGGCTGCGTCCGCTTGCGTCCACTTTTTGCGTCCGCTTCGTTTTCTGCGGCTGACAGGACGCAGAAGTGGAATTTAAAAAAATTATTCCCACTTCGTTCAAGGTCATTTTGGATGATGAATTCGAATTTCGACCTTGATTTTGCATGTTGCAAGGATCGAAATTCATTTGAAATTCCGCAATTATTTTATTTATTTGTATTGATAATTTCATATAATTATTATTCGTTCGTGGAGTCACGCCCGAGCAAAAAAAAAAAAAATTTTATTCCAGCAATCTGTTCCTCGCAGCAATTAAACGAACTCGACAGAAATTTAATTGAAAATTTCCAAGTTCACCAGCCCCAAATTTAAGTTAAATATCTCAGTTTGTCATAATTTAAATATGAGGAATGTTTTATTTTAGGTCTGTTCCAAGCGCCTCTGGTGTCGACGTGCATGCACCCGCTCCTTCGACCCGGGATCCCGTTCGCCCCCCTGCCCGGTGGCCCGGTGCCTCGGGTGCTCCCGGTCGTCGGCGGCCCCCTCGGCGGCCCCCTCGGCGGCCCACTCGGCGGCCCACTCGGTGCCCCCCTCTCCCCCTTCGCACCCAACAGCCCCAGCACCAGCCCGAGCACGGCCGGGGCCGCCGGGTGCCGCTTCAATTCCGACCCTGGCCCTTCCTCGCCTGCGTCCAACGTGAGTCCGGTCGTCACCTGCGAGTCCGGTCGCATTCGCCTGCGATTCCGGTTTTCCACTAAATTTATAATAAATTCGAACCGGCTCCTAACTTCGGTAAGGTGATAAAAAATAAAGGTCTCCGCGTTTCCACGGAGTGTTTGCACTCGCCCAGAAAGCCGATAAATTCCCCGCAAATTTCCTCCCGTCATGCAACGCAGACTGCGTGCATGCAACCCGTTCCTTTTTTTCCCTCGTCTCGGAACGGCTCGGGCTTTCTGCGGTCGAATGGGGCGAGGTTCATCGACGCAGACGAGGCTCATCGATGCAAATGCGGCTCATCGATGCAGATGCGGCTCATCGATGCACCCGCGCGTTCAACTGGAATAAAAAACAATAATAAATAATAAAAATTAAAGTCGGAGAGAAATAAATTATCGGAACGTCTTCGTATCACGACCCGGCAGGTCTCCCAGGAGCCATATCACAAGGAGCCATCTCCCAGGAGCCATCTCCAAGGAGCCATATCCGAGGAGCCATCTGGTACATCCAGTACTCGGACAGATTTTTGTCGTCGTACTTAGCCTCTTTGAATTGGGTCCGGTCGGTTCGGTCCAGTTGCCGGACCAGTTGCACCGGCCCAAAATGCTTTTCGGTTCAGATGCTCAGTGAAATTCTCTGAATAAATATAATTAATCTTATAAATTTAATACATTTAATTTATTTATTTTATCCCTCTCCTACTCGAATTAGAGAAAAACGACCTGGCATGGCGAACGCCGCGACAAAGCGACCGGAAACGCATTAGTTTTAGCCAGGAAATCAGTACTTCTTGCGGTGCAGCCTAGTACTTATCGGTACTATTTATTACTTTCTCGGCGAGAGGCCCGGTTAGTGCCAAAATCCTCTTTCGCCGATTCTTCTCTGACCTCGACGGTTGTTCGTCACGCCGGGCATTGTCACGCGCACAATATCCCGTGATTGTGGCGGGATCCCATTCACTGCGGATCCTTTTCGCGTCTCGAGAGGCCCTTCAAAAGCGATTCAGGTTCCTTATGGCCTTTGTTTTGCTGTGTCGACCTTCGTCGACGCTCGAGGGATCGTTATGTTACTTTTGTAGCCTCAGCTTAAATCGAATAAGTAAAATAATTTGATACATATTTGATTTTTTCTCTGGTAATAAAATTTATAAGATAAATTTAAATCGATAAATAATTTTATATATAATAATAAATTGAATATAATTTTATTGATTACATTTGTGGGACCGCAGGCGGGAAGCGACGGATACGGGAATCCCGGCTCCCCGACCGGCACGACCGGCGGGACGATCCACGCGACGCCGGCCCTCACGGAGAGCCAGATCGCCCGGCTGGCGGAGGTGGCAGACCGGCTGGTGAACTCCCTGCCGCACCTCCACTCGCTCCACCCGGGCGCGGAGACGCGACCCACCGGGAACAAGAAGAAGACCTCCAAGGAGATCGAGGTGCGCTGGCACGCCGCGGGGCTGGCCCCCGGGCGACCTCCTTCCCTGCCTCCTTCCCCGAGACACGTGGACCCTGCGGTCCGAGTCCTTGGGGTTTCTTCCAATCTCTCTCTCTCTCTCTCTCACTCACTCACTCACTCTGTTTGCTCACATGGAGGCGACCTGAGAGTCGCCTTGGCGATCGCGCGCGCGGCGGGCATCGCGTGGCTGCGTCGAACCGCAGGAAATGCGAAATGACCAAAAAAAAAAGGAGAAACGAGAAAAAAAAAGTGCTAATCGTTGCCACGTGGAGAGGGAGGGCGGATATCCCGAGGGCACTCACGAGGATGGGGTGCACCAGTACCTGCTCCAAACCCGTACTTCAAGTACCGCCTCGGTTCCCTCAAGGTACCCAGACGCCCTCCGGCCAGACAGGTACAGATTTAGGAGGAGGAGACGCAGAAAAAAAAAAAGAAATAAAAATAAGTACCTTCCACGTGGACTCGTAAGTCATCCGCTCGCCTCGGCCATGGGAAGAAGACAAATTCGGTCGAAAGTGATTAATTATCGCGTAATTAACAGGGGTCGTTGGATTCGAGGGATTTGCATGCATAAATCAACCCGATCCATTCTTCAATTTCAAAATTTGCGCTTCCGCCTCGCGGGAGAACGACAACGTGCGACAGATGAAAAAAATAATAATTATGCTAATTAGTTAATTAATACTTTCAGAATGTGATGAGCATGTCGGAAGACGACCCGCGCCGAATGGAAGAAATCCGTAAATACTCCGCCATTTACGGCCGGTTCGACTGCAAGCGGAAGCCCGAGAAGCCACTCACCCTGCACGAGGTCGGCCCCATTTTTATACGTACCGGTTCCCCGCACGACATTATTTATATATTATTTATCATCATCAGGTGAGCGTGAACGAAGCGGCGGCGCAGATCTGCCACCACATTCCTGCCATGCTGGCCCGTCGAGACGAGCTTTTCCCCCTGGCCCGGCAGGTCGTCAGGGACTCCGGATATCAGTACTCGAAGGGACATTCCAGGTACTTCTTGCCTTTCCATCGTCTAAAATTTATTATTATACAAATATTTATTTTAAATTTGTTTTTATTTCATTGCGCTAAAAGTTGCACTTGCTGAATCTATGCGAGTGAGAAATTAATATTTAATAATAATAACAATTATATATATATATATAATTTATATTATTATATATATACAATTATATATTTTTTAATTATTGTTATATAGAACGGGTTCGAAGGTCCAATTTTCAAGGAAAAATTCGTCCTGTAATCCTGTAACCCTTTAATCAGACCGCGGATGCAATAAGCTCATATTGATTCGACGAGGAATTGATGACTCCGGTCCCGAAACCGAAGGCCAGCGGGGAGGGAACCCGCCGGTCCCACGCGTTCCGTGCTAATTGGGGAATGCGGCCGACGAGGAATTGAGACGTCGGAGGGATGTCGGGGGGGATGTCGGGAGGGATGTCGGGAGGGATGTCGGGGGGGATGTCGGGGAATTAAGAGGGAGTTGTGGATAAGCTAGCAATAATTCCAGTAGAGCGACGCGACTGCAACACGTCTCGCGCTCGATTGCCACATGTCTCATCCTCAATTGCAACACGTCTCATCCTCAACGGCAACATGTCTCATCCACAACCGCATGTTGCCGAAACGCCGGCACCCCACCGTTCCATCAAAATTTTCGAGTTGAAAGATAAATACGAAACGGAACCGAAAAACCACCAGAAAACAAGATCCCATTACAACACCATTACAACCCCATTACAGTTCCATTGCAGCCGAAAGCCGATAAAAGTGGGCTCGCCATGAGAGAGTCCCGTTGCGCAGGGGCCAAGTCCATCTACGTACTGGAACGGGGGTACTGGAAAGGGTACTGGAGTTCACTCTCTCTCCCCTCCTCCCTCGAGGGAAAAAAAAAAGAAAAAAAAAGTTCCACGTGGAAGACCTCGGATAGCATTTTTCACCCTCTTCCCATTTTTTTTTCTTCCTCATTTATTTCTCTTTTTTTTCTCTCTTTCCTTTCTCGTTTATTTCTTTCTCATTCTTCCTTTTTTCCGATTAGAAAAGCGATTCGTTCCTTCGCGTCTCTAATGAGGGATGCGATCCGCGATCAACCGCGCACGAGTTCACCGCAATTTCCGGATCGCCGATCCCGACATCCACGTTCGTAACGTGGAAGTCACGAAAACAAAGACGATTGCCAATTTATTTCAACGCGGAATTTCTTTCGGAATTTCGAGGAACACCAAGCAGAAAAGGATTTCCGGCTCAATTTCTCCCCCCCCCCCCCCCCCTCCCCCCTCTCCCCCCACTCGCCCCCCCC